TGAAAACCAGGCCAGAATCTGATGTTACCTAGCACATATTGAAACTTATCTAAATAATAGTTAAATATTCATCACTGCGTATTTCTCCGCAGGGCACGAAAGTGAACGAGGCGCGCAAACTGGTAGCAGAGTCGGGGCTTCGCATCGTGCCGCGCGACGACCTCGACGAGGCCGCACAGCTGGCCGTGCAGTTGTCCGAGATCGTCTCGCTGGCCAAGAAGGCCGGCGTCGAGGTCAAGTTCGACATCCCGCGCCTCTTCCTAGAGAAGTAGACCGCTAAATGGGGTTGCCAGCTCGAGGAGAGCCGGACGGTTTTAGCTAGAGATGCTATCGACAGTTTTGTTAACCTCAAGTCGATAGGACTATCGATAGTATCGATTACGAAAGGAAACAGCATCGATAGTATAAAGACAATCATGCCTAAATACTGTCGATGCTAATGCAAGTTTTATTAATAGTATTAACATGTTTTGCACTATCAATGTTATAGCTGTCGAGCGGCATCTCTACTTGTTATATTCAGTCGACTATAAGTAATAAGTTTAGCAGGACATTTGAGTATCCTATCCTATCAACATCTAGTCTAATCATCACTGAAGTGGGCCGGACCGGTTTTTTCTGGATGGCTGGCAACCCTATCCGCACCAGTATTCGCGCACTCATCCGACGGTCGGTCGTCCAGTGGTCACATACGTAGACGATGTAACTTTCATCCACGAATCAGTGCAATACGAAATACGCTATCTACACTTCGCCTGTTAAGTTGTGACTGAACAACTATTTGATGGCTGAGTTGCAAAGTTACATTGTCTAATGGTACTATTTACTATATTGTAACTCGTCGTTTTCAACTTATTTATTCGAATCTTTTTTATAATACGCTTTACACTATGTAATTGCGACTTGTATTCACACTTCTATTGTAAACGTGTAAGGATATTAATTTTAAGATAATAGTGTATCCGAATATGTTAGTAGTGCTTTTGTTTACTTGTAGATAGGTGCCAAGTATACATTTTGTCATTGCTGTATTTTATTAGCTCGTTTAGTCGGGTACATGACATTGTTCAAAGTTATTTGAAATAGTTGTTAACATCTAAATCGAACAATAGTCTACTGAAGGTGGCATGTACTCGTTGTCAATGTTCAATGTGAAGCATTCATTTCATATTGACCGAGTGTGAACGTTACCCACTTGTACACTATTATCGCTGTTATAAGTAACGTAGTACGGGTTGTCAAACAACATTTTAGTAGTTTAAGATATAATTTCATTATTTTCATGTTCTATTTATTTGATTGCATTGTTGTTGTTGAGTAGTTAGATAAAATAAATTAACTATTGGCTCTGATATTTTAAAAATACTGTCCAAAATTATAATATTGTCTCACTTGATGTTTATTGTGAGCGGTATGCACTTCATGAAGATATTATATTTAATTATTGTTACAAACTTACTTTGCTAAATATTTTATAATGTAAACTGTACAGCTGAATTCCGAAAATACAGGTTGATATTTACATATTGTGTAAGTATATGGTTATGTGTATAAGAAGGCCGGTAGACGGCTTCTCGAGACGTGTATCAACGCAATAATTATGTATTTTGTACTGATGTACGAATGTTTCTTTGTAAATAGCAAACTTTTATTAGGTTCGTGTATTCATCAATGAACACTGAATTAGAGCAAATTTCTCGGAAAGTTGAAGTACAATATTGTAATAACATCATTATTCACATTATTAGTGTAATTATTTATTGGCATATGGAATACCGTAATAAAAGTTAATTTAGATCTGTTTTTTAGTTTTGTATCAATTAGTCCCATCCTCATGATATCCTCCTTTCTATTGAAGAAATAGTTGCAATAGTTAACATAAATATACCAACACAAACAAAACATTTTAGTTTCCATACTTGAAATGATTTGTAGTTTAGTTATTAGAGAACTAGCTTACTAAAATTCCTAGACAGCAGGAAGGCCTTCTTTAACATAGAATGGGTTCGATTTCCGATCAATCTTTCTGCATACAGCCTGCAATTCCCTCCAGCAGAAAAACCTTTTTGTTATTAGTGTGTAATTTTACTCATTTTGTTCCTTAGTCTCAAACCGATAGAATTGGTTCCCTAAATTATTTTATTTAGAACAAAGATGAAAATGTCCTTTTACAAACCTCTCCACTAAAAAAGCTCTGAAATAAAGTAAACAGTAACAGTAGCAGCAGCAGTTTTATAAAATTTGCTTATTTATAGGTTGCATTTGGATACAAAAAAAGCGCAGATGAAGGAGGCAAGAAAGGCGGAGCATGTAAATGAATATTGCAAACTTTCAGCATAAGAAAGAATAAGTGAAAAGGTAAATGCAAATACATTCGAATTATGGAAAAGGGTGAGTCCCAAACAAGAAAATAAATAGAAAATTCTCGCACTCTGTGATGACTTGATAGTTCAAGTTCACTGTACTATACCAACTATACATTCAATTGAATTTGGTACTCATGCAATGCTATGTGGCGTCGTGCCAAATAACTTTGGCTCGCTCGACCAGCCAGCGGCTACTACAAAGTAACATTGTTGAGCTTGCAGTGAAAGTATCGTATACATCCTAAATTACTTTTGTTATAGGCCCACAATTTACTTCCGAAGATGGTTTATGATCAATGAAGAAAATTATTTAGCAAGACAAATATTTGTAACAGAACCTAGCGTTGATGGTAACGGTTGTGACGAAATAACAGTGTTTCCGATTCCAAGACCTTACTATCTCTATAACTAAATGGTAATGGACCTCTTTCCTGTCTTCGAAGTTAATGAAGAAGAAAAGGTAACTAAAATTGTCTACCACCCAACTTAATAAATGGTGAGAAGGCGATTCTGGTCCTTGTTTATTTACTGTGAAAGGTAGGAGAAGTCGTAAGTTTAAAACAAAGGAGATAGTAAACATTCAGGAATCGAGATAAGTGATGAATTTTTGGATGTTTTTACCGTTTTGTATTTAAATTGAAATAAATTGTAATTGCATAAATCATTTTTAATAAAACTGTACATGATTATATATTTGTTTTTGTCTTTGTTATTATACAGGGTGGAAACGTTAAGTGATCTCACTCGATTATTTCTAAACCATACAAGATATTGAAAAACTGGTTACTGATCCTGAAAGTGCTTCATGAGCTCTTTCAAACGGTACCAATAATAGGTTACAGAATAAACTAGATCTATCTGAAAATTCAATGTTTCCAGCTTCCATACTAAATGTATGCCAGACACACAATATTAGAAGTGTATTTTTTTTTATTTAATAATAAACTCTTAAAATACACTCGTAAATTGTATTATTATTTAAAATGATTCATGGAAAACATTCGTTTTAAGCTTTACTTGCTATGATATTGTCAAGAGATAAGTGTCATTACTGTGGTAGTACTAACGGCCGAATACTGAAACGCCATTTAAATATTTGACGGCTTCTCAAATAGTTAAGCAGCTCCTAAACTTACATTTCGCATACTCAAAACAATATCTGAGCAGTTCTCAATTTTTAAGCACCTCTCAAATTAAGTTGCACTCGAACGCCACTTAAATGAATTTTCGCATACTGAAACGCCATTCAACGCTAAGCATTACTCAAACAACTGTCAAATCGTCTTAGGCAGCTGTTAAATTTGAGAGTGCTTGCGCGGTATCTTAAATCCTATTCTTATACCTAAATCGACGTAAATAGTGGTAAATAATGTGTGTCATCGTTATCATTTCTTTCGAGCCTCGAGGAAATACCTAGATCTAATCGCAGGAACGCAATAAGGCTGAACGCTATTGAAAAATATTATTATAATGACATGCAATTCCGAGCGAGGGAGGTTCCGCGTCTCTAAAGAAACGGTGTGTTTCTGAATTAATAATTTGGAAGCTCTTTGAAACCCCTCACCAAATGCAATACAACCAGTGGACCAAATACTTATTATAACCCTACTGTTCTACGCAACGGGAAGTTATGAACGTGTACTAGGTGATATCTTCCACATCTAACAGCCAACTGTGCATCGTATAGTGCACGAAGTAACAACCAAAATAGCTGCTATGAAATCACTTTACATAAACATGNAATAAAAATGCAAGCATTAATTTTTTTATATGATAAAACGAGATTTATATATCATAGAAACTAAAAATAAACTGTTCTATGTTAAGTTGATTGAGTATATTTCCATAAAAGACAATACATAACCAAACGATGCTGCGTGTAATGGATAAAAGACGTAAAGTTATCATTTGTGTAAATGAAAACATACTTTTTTTGGTAAATGTTGCCATTATGTAAACATTTGAGAGCTGCTTAGCTGATCACGGCTTCAAATCCGTTGAGTAGCGTTTGAGAATACCATTTAAAATTGAAGGATACTTAAATTTAGGAGCCCGTCAGCTGAGTGATAGATTTGAGTAGTGTTTCAGTATTCGGCCGTAAATGTATGGAAGAAGGAAACATTGAATTTTTGGATAAATCCAGTTTATTCTGTAACCTGTTATTGATACCATTGGATAGAACTTGTAAAGCACTTTTAGAATCAGAAATCAGTTTTAGGATATCTTGTGTAGTTTTTAAAATAATGTGACTTTACCAAATGTATGGAAGCTGAAAACATTGAATTTTCGGATAGATCCAGTTTATTCTGTAACCTATTATTAATACCGTTTGATAGAGCTCATGAAGCACTTTTAGTATCAGTAACTAGTTTATTGATATCTTGTATAGTTTAGAAATAATCGAGTGAGATCACTTATCGTTTCCACCCTGTAGACTTAGTGGAAATATTATATAATTTTAAATGGACATCTTCATTTCCAAAAATATAACTGAATACGACGCCTATATCTAAATATGGAACAAATTATAACAAAAAATATTATACTAAATTGTTCAAAATTAACAATTGCACTGACAGCATGAGTAGTGTGACAAGAATCAAGTTAAATTATATTTATTTATTATGTATGTACACTATATAACTTCCTTGCTTGGTGTCGATATTCCTAAAGCTTCCTCATATCCCACTTTAGTTTCATGTTTATCTGAAAACAATAGGGAGTTATCATTAAATTATCATTAAATATTTCTATCAATATGTAAGAGGTGAGAATCATAGTCATTAGGCCAGAAATATAGACAGATTAAATAGAAATTTACAAAATCATGCTAACCTTTTTTTGAAGATTTCTTCTTCTTAGAGTCCTTATCCTTAACCTCCTTCTTAGACTTCTTGTGTTTCTCAGTCTTAACGTGGTTCCCGACGCTAACTTCTTCAGACGAGTTTCCCTTGGACGCATGTTTTACTTTAGGTTTGCTTACATTCTCTATGAGCATATTTTCTTCGTCTATATTATTTTGCTTCGAATCAGATATCATTAAATCTAAATCATCACTTTTAGATTTCTTATCTTTCTTTTTCTTGGCGGATTTTTCTCCAGAACTTTTGTTAGCCTTGTTTTTCTTGGAATCTTTGGACTTTTTGTTTAGGAACCCACTCTCTGGCGAAGGATATTGTTTGATTCTCGACGTAAGTAACTCATCGTCACGCAGGGGTCTGAAATAAAGTGCAATACAATTGAAAAACATTGACATGAAAGAAACAAACGAACATCATCGTGAGTGTGACGTAAAGGTCGCACAGCGAGAGTTGATGCAAACAACAGAAGCAAAGATTACGCTCGTCGGGCTACGTCTTGCGTAGTAGGACTAATAAGTGCGTTTTGTCTCGCTTGCAAGAGCGAGGTAGCAAGACTTGTTATTCGATATTTGAACTTGAAGTGTAATTTGTTGTATAGATGACCTACTCTGAACTGTCCAACCTGTATCAGTCGTACTCATTCTCTGGGGGGCGCCATAATCGTTGAAATATTACATCAGTGTGAGTACGTTTCGCCTCAACTTTGGTTGAGCTACTTACACCATTGAGGAATATTGCGGCATGCTTCTCGGTAGCGTTACCGGAATGTGTCAATTGAATGATAGGGAATAATCGGTAACGGAGTGCGGTCCTGGGGAACATTTCCGAGAAAGATATGACAGGCGGAAAAAGCACAGGCGGTGTACTCACTGGTCAAGATCCAGATCGAGCGCGCGGTGCGGATCGTCGGCCGCTCTCTCGGGCAGCTCGTAATATTTACGCCATAGCACAGAATAATAATAAGTACTACGTACAGAAGTTTTACTTCGCGGAGGTATTTAAAAAAATGTATGCTCAATGTCATTAACAATATGGTGTAATTTAGCCTGTCTCAAGAGTCAAGCACCATTTTGTTGACAAACGTCAGTGATCGGCACTGCGCCGAAGCTATAGGGCTGACTTCGGTAAAATGATGTGACGTGAGGTGCCAAACTGCGGAAAATGGCGGAGGAAATACATGATTTAGCATGAATTATCATGAATAATATTAACTACTTATTTACCTCTCAGTGTCTTGAGGCAACTTAAAAAAGTACATTCTGTGTTTTTATTATTATTTAGGCAGTTAAATACTGCACAGTATTTAGTACACCATTTTCTTTATTTTCTTCCATCATACACAAGAATACGTGTGCGTGAGTCAATGTTCGCTCGTATGTGAGGCCTTGTCGAATAGTATCCTATAGGTGGGCCATCGTGCGTGTTTTGTTTTCGATGTAAACTCGCGGAGATGAACAGGCTTGGCCATAGACACAATAGGTGGAAGAAAGACAGGCGGTGTACTCACTGGTCAAGATCCAAATCTAGCGCTCGGTGCGGGTCGTCGGGCGGCGGCGGCGCGTCGTCGTCGGACACGGCTGCTCTCTCGGGCAGCTCGTAATATTACGCCAAAGACACAATAAGTGGAAGGAAGACAGGCGGTGTACTCACTGGTCAAGATCCAAATCTAACGCTCGGTGCGGGTCGTCGGGCGGCGGCGGCGCGTCGTCTTCGGACACGGCTGCTCTCTCGGGCAGCTCGTAATATTACGCCAAAGACACAATAAGTGGAAGGAAGACAGGCGGTGCGTACTCACTGGTCAAGATCCAAATCTAACGCTCGGTGCGGGTCGTCAGGCGGCGGCGGCGCGTCGTCGTCAGACACGGCCGCGCCCTCGGGCAACTCGCCGCCTTCCTCCACAGCCGGCCGCGAAGCAATCGGCTCGTTCTCTGCAGAATAATGCAATTAGAATAATGCCCGTTTTCACCATCAATCTCTAATTTTTGAGTGACCTCTATGGACCCCTAGGAATTTTGTTTTCAAAGGGGCACAAAAGGAGTCACTTAAAAATTAGGGATTGATGGAGAAAACGGGCATAAGACTAATAATGAAGACCCAAATGATAAAAGCTTGGATGGAAGACTGTCCATCAAAATATATAGTGGAAAAATAGCACCTGCAACTTCATTCATATTGGCCACGCCTAAATCAGATATGAGAGTGCTAATCTCGATGTAACCGCCGTCAGCAGTCGGTACATTCATTTGTTTCGAGACTCGAGAGACAATAGTAGCTAGGAAACGCTCATTAGATTTCACGGATCCATTTGTTCTGCTTAGCTCTCAGCATGGACAAAGTGCTGTGAAAGGTTTGAGAACTGTTGACAACAGTTTATTGTAAGAAATCAAATTAACATACCATCGCTATCCGACTCAGAAGTATGAACAGCCTTTTTACTCTTCCGTTTCTTCGACGGCCGCTTCTCTTTCTTCGTCTTCTTTGAACTTTCTCTTGAGATTAAGTACTTATCAGATCTCTTGGCTGAAAAGAAAACACAACACGTTATTGCACGTTTCCTAAATTAGACCTTACTCCGTTACAATAAGGATCACAAGCGAGGCGTCTTACTGTGTTACGGCGAGTCGTCCTTCGCCCGCGTAGCCAAATGAGACCTTACTCCGTTGCAATAAGGATCACACTTACTGTGTATCTGCAGCGGCACCTCGAGCGCTATCTCCGCGACGGGGATGTCCTCCTGCTGGTAGGAGCGCGGCGAGTCGTCCTTCAGGTAGTGCGGGTTGTTGGCTTGCTCTTGGCGCCGCGCCTCACGTAGCTATGGAATAAGGATGTTTGAATCGGATGCATATTTGGAAAATAGTATTGACGTTTTGATATGAACGTGGCATTGGTGGAACAGTAAGCTTACAGTGCTTGGTGAAAAAACACAAGGTTATCGCTACTAACAAATGTCATATAGCGTGAGGAGCGCAGTATGACGCGGACGCGTGAGACGGGTTTCCACACGCGAGGGACGAGCGCAATCCGCGACCGCTGTCAAAATTGTGCTAACGGACAGGACCTTACTCTACAGTGGCGCTAACTGGTGAGCGCTAAAACGATAGCCCTCATTAATAGGCGGACACTCGCTCCGTGCGCCCACGCAAGTTTTAGCGTAGGCCCTAGGGATAAATAAATTATATGCTGATGATGGAATGAATGAGTGAGTGAGTAAGAAAGACGCGATTTTGGGAGAAGACAGTTGAAATAAGTCGAAGCGAGGACTTTCCTTTTCTTGTGGTTTATCCCGGAAAAATACAAATAAAGCTAGCTGGAGAAATATTACCGTTTTTCAATTCCTTCAGAATCCGAATTGAGGAAATCCGTAAACGAACTTAAAGTAGCTGACATAGCCCGACGGTGGCGACGGATTAGCAAGCTGAGGTGGCAATGGGCAGGGCACATAGTACGCAGAACTGACGGCCGATGGGGCAGCAAGGTTCTGGAGTGGAGGCCGCGTACCGGAAAACGCAGCGTGGGACGTCCACCCACAAGGTGGACCGAGGACATCATAAAGGCAGGAGGGCGCTGGACGCAGGCCGCTACCAACCGGGCAACATGGTAAGAATTGGAGGAGGCCTATGTTCAGCAGTGGACGTCCTATGGCTGAGATGATGATGATGATGATGATATCGAACTATAAGCCCTTTTATGTCAAGCGGTATAGGACAAATCTGGGAGCACAAAATGTCGTTAATAGACTCTGCGTTGAATATAACAGGTTCTACGGGGCCACTGGTGCCACTGAAAGTGATCTCCTGCACTACTCCCAAACACAGTATAAAAGGAAACTATACTCCTTTGTGGCGTCTCAACTGTTTGTGTCAGATTAAGCTATGGTAACCGTTTTTTGTTTCTTTTTTTTTTTAGTAATTGAAACTTATTTTGCATTTGTAGTAAGTAAGTAGGTACCTACTTATAAGATAAGTCATGTTTAAATCAAAATTCTACTATTATTGATACGATTAAGTGTTTTTTTTTTGTGTGCATGGAACGGTTCGGAACAAACTGCATTGAATCTATATTGCATGTTGTGTCAGCCTATAATTGTTGTTGCATTGTAACTTTGTTCATAATTGTAATTTTTAAGTGTACATGTTGTAATGTAACAATGTTGGTAGACCTAATAAATAAATAAAATAAAATAAAAATATCCTACAGAATAGGCCCACTCACCATCTCGAGCTCCTCCTGCGTGAACTGCGCAGTGGGCCGCGGGTCGGGCGCGGGCGGCGCGAACACGGCGGCGGCGCCTTCGTCTTCTGAGCTTGAGCTGTCGGAGGACCAGCGCTCGCGGGACAGCCATTGGTCTAGATCTAAGCTGTATAATAAACATTATGTCAGTAATATGCTGCTTTTACACTATGCGGAAATTAGCCGAGTCAAGTCAAAAAAACAGAGGAGTGGGGATGAAATTCATTCATAATAGGCTAGTTTCCTAAAAAAATTTTTTTAGTCCGTCATGTTTAATATCAAAAAATATTGGACACATATATTTTTATTTGTCAATCTAACAAATAATTACATAGTTATGGTGCGTTGAAGTTCCGCACGACGTCACAACGTGCGGCACTTTTATGCAAGCATTGACGTCACGGGCCTCTTCTTATGAACTTTGGCGCGCTTTATCTCTTTAAATTCATTAGTTTGAAAAAGTGAAAAATACGTGTAGAGTATTTTTTGATAAGTTAACTAACGGACTAATTAAAACTCTTGCTTTTTGACCCAGGAAACATCCCTATTCATCCCCACTCCACTGTTTTTTTGACTTGACTTGGCTAATGTCCGCGCAGTGTAAACGCAGCAATAGAGTAATAAGAACTATTTGAAGCGTGCATTGCGTTGGACGCGTAGTTTGCGCCATTCACAAAGACGCGTCCTACCATTCTTCACCTAATGTTTGAGTGTTATCGGTACAGGCTATATCCATGAGTGCACACGCACACTACAATAACGACACTCGGATCTAACTCCCCGCACCCCGCGCTTCTCTCGACCATAAATTGGTGGGGCGCGTCTTCGTGGATGGCATGATCTATAACGTACTTAGACAAGATTAAAGTTATTTTCTTCAAAATAAATTGCTAACATTAAAAAGTATTGTTATCGATATTTCTTTTCATTTTGACTTAAGTTCCTCTGAGCTGTGGTTGAGTATTCCGGATGAAGCTCGCATCCACCTTCAACTTGTTCATCATTTTCCATCTGGTGAGATGCAGGGCAAGAGCTTCCTCGTTGGGGATAGAAAACATGGTTCTGCATTTACATAATTCAATTGGAATAATATTAAAAGATTGGTTCAAATATTGCACTTACTCGGCGGGCATGGGCACTTTCTTCTGCGCTTTAGGCGCGACAGGCTTGAGCTCTCCATCGAACAGGTCAGCGAGTTCTTGTATTAGGCCGCCGCTGAAGCCCTTCGATGTCTCCTCGTCGTTCAAATCTTCGCCATTTGTTTCGATGTCTAGGCCGTTGCTGGAAAAAATAGATTGAACAATTTGGTTAGAGAAACTAGCAAAAAGCTTTTCTTCGCTGTATTCGATGAAATCAGATGATTTGAGCATAATAGAACCCGTTTAAAAAGATACGTCCAAACTCAGGATGCAATGTCTAGTGCTCATAACCACACCACAGCTAGCTATAGTCCAGTACACGACCGTCTCGCTGTAAAACCAAAATGAATTCAAATAAAGAACACTAGTGATGCCCCGTGGCACATTACCTCGCATCGAGCGGTCCGTCATCGGCTTGGACCGCGGTGGCTTCCAGCACGCTGTCTTCAAGATTGAGGCGGCGCACTATGGAGCGAAATTGCGATTTATGGACATAGCGATTTTTTTCACAATTTCTATTTGAAAAAAATACCTATCGATAGGTTACGTTATTCTGATGAATAAATGCTGCACAAGTTTTTCTCTAAAACCAATAGTTTGACTGGAAAAAAATATTTTCCATTTTCGTTGTATGGAATGAAACATAAAGTGGTCGATTTCGACTAAGCCTTGACAGATCTTGCTTTGAAACTACTTGAGCCTTGTTCTATGGCTTGTTGACTGTAATCCTACGCTATCAGCGCGCATCCAAAGTTGCCCGTTCACAAGTTATGAGGTTCTGAAAAATTAAAAAAAAGTAAGTAAAAGTGACTTTTTTTTGGGTCACTTTTACTTACTTTTTTTTAATTTTTCAGAACCTCATAACTTGTGAACGGGCAACTTTGGATGCGCGCTGATAGCGTAGGATTACAGTCAACAAGCCATAGAACAAGGCTCAAGTAGTTTCAAAGCAAGATCTGTCAAGGCTTAGTCGAAATCGACCACTTTATGTTTCATTCCATACAACGAAAATGGAAAATATTTTTTTCCAGTCAAACTATTGGTTTTAGAGAAAAACTTGTGCAGCATTTATTCATCAGAATAACGTAACCTATCGATAGGTATTTTTTTCAAATAGAAATTGTGAAAAAAATCGCTATGTCCATAAATCGCAATTTCGCTCCATAGTGCGGCGCAGTACGAACGCGTTAAAAAAAGAACACTAGCTTTAGTTGTATAGCGTCGTGATCGACAAGCGGTCCGTCATCGGCGTGGACCGCGGCGGCTTCCAGCACGCTATCTTCGGGATTGAGGCGGTGCAGTACGAACGCGTTAAAAAAATAACACTATCTTTAGTTGCATCACGTCGTGGTCGACGAGCCGTCCGTCGTCGGACAGCGGTGGCTTCCAGCACGCTGTCTTCAGGATTGAGGCGGCGTTGATAAATGAACACTAGTGAAGTAGTGACGCGTCAGTTACCTTGTATCATGGTCGACGAGCGGCCCATCGTCTGTGCCTTGGGAGGTGGCGGCTTCCAGCACGCTGTCTTCAGGGTTGAGGCGACGAAGAACGAGCGCGAGCAGCGCGTGCGCATTGAGTAAAGAACACTAGTGACGTGCCAGTTACCTTGTATCGTGATCGACGACCGGCACGTTGTTGGCGGCACGGCACGAGCCTGCTTGCGCGTGCGCATTGAATAAAGAAGATTAGTGACGCGCCAGCTACTACCTCGCGTCGTGGTCGACGAGCGGTCCGTCTTCGGCTTGAACCGCGGTAGCTTCTAGCACGCTGTCTTCAGGGTTGAGACGGCGCAGCACGAGCGCGAGCAGCGTGTGCGCATTTAAATAAAAACACTAGTGACGCGCCAGTTACCTCGCATCATTGTCGACAAGCGGTCTGTCATCGGCTTGGACCGCGGTGGCCTCCAGCATACTGTCTTGAGGCTGAGGCGATGCAGCACGAGCGCGTTAAAAAGACTAATGATGCGTCAGTTACCTTGTATCATGGTCGACGAGCGGCCCATCGTCTGTGGCTTGGGAGGTGGCGGGTTCCAGCACGCTATCTTCGGGATTGAGGCGACGAAGAACGAGCGCGAGTAGCGCGTGCGCGTTGTGCGCTCGCTCCTGCACCTCCATATCCTCGCTGCATAGCAGCGGCCGCATGCCCGCTACGCTCTCTCGTAGTACCTGGGAATAAATGATGTCATTTTTTTATTTTTGTTGTTCACACTAGCGTTTGTCCAGCGTAATAGGCGTTTGATCACAGAATGTTAATAATTGACCGCTGCGCTAGGACGGCGTCACCCAATTACGGTGCATAAGTGGCGGGAGGGGTCGAATAGGAACAGGAATGTACACTGCAGTAAGAGCGCTTTCACAATTAGGCGATTTAGCAGCGCGACAAACCGCGCGTTTGTCTTGACGAAAATTTCATACTATGTGACAGCTGATGCATGCCTTTACATTATAAAAACGCCGCTGCCGTGCTGCTGTCGCGCTACTAACGTCCTAATATGAAAGCGCTCTAATGCGGCGCATGCTTCTCATGTGCCCCAGCAGTTGTCGCGCTATCTACGCTACGCATTAGTTCATCAAGGTGGCCAGAATGTACGCTAGTGAGAAGAGGCCCAAAAAGCTAAAAACCTTACAGTCATATAGGTTTTGAGCGTGGCGTGGGCTACCTAAATAAACTCCGACAAACGTTATTTCGACACTACTAAATATCGACATGACTTTACTTCGGCACTACACTACTCAGACAAAGGCGTATATCCTTTGTCTGAGTAGTGCAGTGTCGAAGTAACGTTTGTCGGAGTTTATATAGGTAGCCGGTGGCGTGTATACTAACCGAGAGCGCCGCGTCTCTATCGCCGCGTTGCTCGTAACGCAGCAAGAGACGCGATGCTAACTTGAGCGCGGCGTGCGCACAGACAGCCCTCGCTCGCATCTGTCCTCCGCCCACGCCCGCACATACAACCAAGGGAGATATCGCCTCGCGCATCACGTCTTCCTCTCTGTAAAAGATACGAGCTTTAGAATAACATCACATACATAGCTGAGCTAAAATGACACACGAAATGGCCGCATTACTAGGGAGGGAGTAAGACCCGCGCTCCACACAACTTTGCTACACGCCGCGCCGCCGCCGCTGTCAAATTCTGTAGAAAAATTAAACCGCTCGACACATCTCTCTTCTTCGCTTCGTCTTGGTGGGAACCGGGCCTAATGCGGAGTGCAGTTTCATTCCTTAACCATGGTAGCGGTGTGGAGAATGAATACGGAATAGAGTTACAACCCGTTTTTCCAACTAAGCTAGCAAGTGACGAATCATTTGGTTTTGCATAAAATACTTTTTTTAAAGCCTGTTCTCTGAAGCGAAACGGAGATTTTATGCTATCTCTACACTTCACTCTCTCTGCTACTAGACAGCCAAAGGCTAAGAACTCACGGCGCGATTTTCACCCGAGCCCGCGGCGGTTGTGGAATTGCGGTTTTATTTCAAAACTCAACGGGAGCGGTTATTCTAAGAACTCACGTGCTTATTCACTGGTACAAAATGGTCGCCCGCCGATCGGGTGGTTTCGCGCGGGCGAAAATCGCCGAATGCCAAATGCGAAGGACTGCCGAGCCGAATACAACCGTGCCCGCTGCGGGCGAAAACCGCGTCGTGAGTAGTGCATTAGTATTTACATAAGTATCTACATTCTACAGAAGCTGCGGGCCCGCAACCGCCGCGGGCGCGGGTGAAAATCGCGCCATGAGTTCTTAGACTAAGTGGTGTGGTGGTGACGTCACTCACTCGCAGTACTCGGCGAGCACGTAGGCGGCGGCGTAGAGCACCTCGCGCGAGGCGGGCCCGGGCGGCGCAGCGGCGGCGCGCGCGCACAGTGCGGCACACTCGCGCTATGACGGCTGCAGGCAGCGGGGCAAGGGTGTCACTCACTCGCAATACTCGGCGAGCACGTAGGCGGCGGCGTAAAGCACCTCGCGCGAGGCGGGCCCGGGCGGCGCGGCGGCGGCGCGCGCGCACAGTGCGGCACACTCGCGCGCCGCGAATGCTCGCACGTCCGCCACGCGCGCGCCCACCTCCGTCAGCTGCGCGGCTATTATGGCGCCTGGAAAGAAAAAAACCGCTCACTTAACATCAGGTGCAATGAGGGTTTTCGCGTATGAAAAATCCGCCAGATGGCAATACGTAGACGCGAGGTCCAAATTTTTTTTTAATCTACAACGAGGAAGCTCTTGGCCTGTATCTCACCTGATGGTAAGTGCTGCATGATTGGTTATTTTTGACATGACATTGACAGATATGTCAAAATCCACCAATCACGCAGCAGTCAGACCCTACCCTACTACATCCACGTCCCGCCATCTAGCGGATCTTTCATACGCGAAAACCCTCATTGCAGGGAAATGTTTTGTTCTGCATAAAAAAACACGTCAAGAATGCGATGCAATCCTCTTATCATACAGCTGCGCGTGCCAAATACGAAGGTCTGTCACAGGATATATCAGCGCACACGTCCATAGAAAAATATCACAAAAAGTAGATCGCTTTTTTGCGGGGCTTAGCGCGTAGTGTGTTGCACGCCAAAACAAACCAGGCTTCAAAGAGTTAATTGAAAATCCAACAGTTGACCACAACAAACTGCATTATAGATGCGCATGCACATCGTGCGCACAGTTGGTTTTTAATGCGCTCGCGAACCCATCACAATGCAAGGCAAATGTTGAATTTGTAGCTTATAATTTTCTTAAAAAGCCTTCTTAGTAACTTACCGTGTTTAGCGCTCGTCTCCATCTCGGTGAGCTCGGCGAGCACAGTGACGTACCACTCGAAGTCGACGACGTGCTGGTAGTTGTTCTGCGAGCAGATCTCGATCATGCGCGTGAGCAGCTCGTCGCGGTACAGCGTGCCCTCCGCGCGCTCCATGTGAACCATCAGCTTCTTTACTATCTCCATTAGGTTCTTCTTTGATACCTGTTAAAAACGAAATACGATTGTTGCAGATCGGCTATATTACAATTAGACCGGTTTGTGTCAAGCTTGACAGCTGTACCGGGTTTTACAAAGTTAAATCCACCTGAACAAATAGGAATGTCCATGTCCGAAAGTTAGGACAATAACTCGCAGCTCCGTTTCATTGGTCATCGGAGGATACTGTCGGGTTTTAGTAAGTAGGCTGCCCTTCTAGCAGAAAGAATGGCCGTCGCCATCGGCCAGTAGGTATGTATGCGCGAAACAAGTTCCGACGTAAAAAAAGGAATATATTTATGTTACAGATGATTAAAATTTTTATTGCATCTGATTAATTAACCTTTAAATCAGAAACATTGCAGCTAGAGTACAAAATAGTTTAAAAATTCGGTGTAAAAGTGAAGCAACTGAGTCTCAAAATACCGCGTGATAAAGATAACGGCGAAACTTACCATTCCATACAACAATCCTAAGGCCCGAAGTCGGATGGACTCGTCTTTGTCGTCAAGGCAGGCCAGCACAAGGTCCTTATGTGCCTGCACTGACTTCGGGTGGGACTTGAGTATTCGAGACATCGCCAGGAGTCCCAAGTATTTCACTGAAACAATAAAATTTTCATATGACCACCTTTTTGACAAAAGCTCCATTAAACAAACTGCCAAACACTGAAGTTACGAGCACATAATCACAACACAAGTTTTTTTAGCACAATTTCCACACTGTATGTATAGAGAATGTGGGATGGCCATTGGCATAGCTAGGGATTATTTCTTAGGGGGAACCGCAGCTCAGTTTACGTCAAACGCATTCGATGTCGACTGAGTAAAAAAGTGACATTAAATAAATGTCCTCTAGCGGAAACTTTCAAGACTTTTTTTAACGCGCTCGCTAGTGACTACGTTTGATGTAAACTCGCACTAAGCCTCAGTACTCTATGTCAAATACTACTTACAGTTCTGGTCGCTATCCTCGATGAGTATCCTGAGCTTCTGCACGCATAGCTGCACCGAGGCCGCGTGTCCCGGCATACCGCTGCTGATGCTGATGAGCACAGCGATCACCGTGTTGATGCACTCGTATAGGAGCGACATCGCCGATGTGCTGCCAAACAACACTGCTACTTAACACCTTCACATACGGATTGAAATAGACTGCATTTTCATCAAGGTTATCTCATTGAGAAATGCACGTAGATAACTTTTTTTTTTGTTATGTTTGGTCATTTCTAAATGGATAAACAAAGTTATACTGTGCTTTCTAGATAAATTAGTGGATGCCAGGGTATACCTGTAGTATTATAAATGTAGTCCAGAGATAAACCTTGAAAAAGATAGTACATGGATTGGGACAATAATTCGCGACTCCGTTTCATTTGGCTCCGTCGGGTTTTAGTGAGTAGATCCTGGTCTTCAGGTGGGGAAAACCCCACATAACTCACTGGCCATCCCCTTCAGCCATTGAGTATGCAACTTTATGCATATAGACAGAGAGAGGTTATATCTGGACCCAAAATTGACCATACCTTCTAAGATCTATAAAGAAGTTTTTTATAAACTCTCTTCATGCTTTGGCAAATAGTGAACCCGATTGATTCCAGTCGCGGTACTCGCGGTATTAAGCAGCTATAATATCACTATTTGATAGCTTTGCATGTAATAAAGATGTAGTTATACATGCTTCAGCGTTGTAAGCTAAATAATGTGATTGTGTAGTCGAAACTATATCCGATAAGATTTTACTCTAAGGAAGAGAAAGCTTTATAATATTACCTATCTATCATTAACCATCCAAGAAGGACAATTTAAATTAACATTATAATAGCATCCTTTTTATATTCTGTTGGATGCATTTGCACTATGTATTTGCGGTGACGAATCGAGACATGAGGACGCACGAGCAAAGGCTAAGTATAAAAATCTAAATGCTACATACGAAAACCAAGCTGTTACAAACGAAAATATAAACAGAAGAAGCGGTGTAAGCAGTCAATTTCCATTTCGATGATTAAAAATCAGCTTTATAACTCTAGCATGGTAGTAGTCTACTTTCCCTTCACCCCATAGATGCCTAAAGTAACATTTAATGCAATAGTGTCAATTGACAACAACTGACTCACCTATGTATTAAATTAGTTAATGGTTCTATCAGTTTCTTGCCAAGTCGAGGCTCTAATGGGGTTAAGGCACCAAACTGCAACAAACACAATGATACTACTTAAATCGAGCTTCTCTGAGCAATGATGAATGGTTCCCTGAATTCATGATAGACTCCAATTTGCTGTATCCAGGTGTACTCAAGAACTGTTAACAATCATTTGATTTTGTACTTTATTCTCTGAATCACTATTGATGTTTTGTTTATCATGTATCATGAATGTATTATCAGCAGCAAAAATAAATACAAAATGTGAGATGTGCCAATCCAGAATTGTGTAACTTGTCTTGTGGAAATTAGCAGAATAGTTTTAAAATTTGCATTTACTATGAACCAACTGTTATACTAAAACTAGATTATGTACTATGAATTCATATTAAAAAATAGTAAATGCAAATTTTAACTTTTTCCAATTTGATGTGAGTATAGTTTGTCTCTAAATTGTATAATATAGTATAATTATGGTGAAGTTGGGTGTAGTGAATAATGCTAGCAGCTAAACTCATTTCATACTTTTACACTTGGTACCTGCAAATTAGATCTATGAGGCTTTGAGTTATTTTCCTTCCAATATCTGGTTCATATTGGGTCATTAAACCAAACTGTGAATTAATAGGAACAACTGATTAGCAGTGTGCAATAATTATTATATTATATTGGCTATATTAAATTACCTGATACAAATAATCAGTTGTAATAATATCCACAAAAGAAAATTAAACGATATGACACTTGAATAAGGTAGGTATTTTCTCATGTGCACTTTCAAGTGTAGCAATACCTGCCTATGTCAATCAGTTTTACATTGGAGTTTATTTATTCTAGAGTCATACAACTCAGCCAATAGAAACATGACTAATACAAGTGGAACATTCTTATCTCTAATGTATTATATGAGTTTAAATATAAATATACATTAAGTATTTGGACATACCAGTTTAATGATCTTGATAAGCATCCAGTTGTTTGTAGATGTGGTCATAAGTTTAAAAAACACTGGGGCTAAAGAGAGGTAATTTTTGGGGTTCTTTCTAGCTAGTTCACATACAACATTTACAGCAGCTGACTGAACACCTGTAAAAAGATATAAATAACATTAAATTGTTTTTAAAGTTGAAAAATAAGTATATAATACTATCAAATAAAACCATGCCATTCATAAATAGATTTAAAATAACATACCAGGATCAGAGTCTTCCAATTTTTCTTTCAATTTAGGAAAGGCTGGTCTTAGAGCCTCAGGGTACCTTAGAAATACCTTGTACATCATGAGCACAGCCTTCATTCTTAAATAAGGTTTGGTTGAGCTCATCTAAAAACACAAGCATTTATTTACTCTGTCACCAAAACAGATACAATAGAATAGCAATTGATGTATCATACTCAGTTTACAGGAAAAGGAAGTTGCTCAATTGGTTCTATACACATTCCTGTGAGGTTAAAAGTAGAGATGAAACGGATATCCGGCAACTATCCGGTAGGCCGGATATCCGGCCTAAATTTACTATCCGGCCGGATACCGGATAGTAGCTCACTATCCGGCCGGATACCGGATATTAAAAAACTACGAAAATTTCCTATAATAAAATGAAACACATTAATCTTTGAGTTAATATCAATAAAATGGCTTATAATAATGACGGTTTTTATCGAAAGTCCAAAAAGTTACAAAAAAGCCATATTAAGGCCTTTCAAAAAACTAATTTCTTTTCTGGGCTATTCACTTTAACCCTTCATTTGGCAAGACACAAATTGTTTGATTTTTTCAATAAAATCTATTTAGACCTAATTGTTACTATCAAATAAAGTTAAGAAAAATAATAAAAAAAATATTTGGTTGGTATTTTCGCGAAAAACGATTGTTGCTTATTTACCACATTGCCAAATAGGGGTACTTAAATATAACATTGAGATATATTATAGAATTAATTTTTTTATATGAAAATCATAAAAAAATCAATCGTATTTCACATTATATGCATTAAACTATTTTTTGGCCATTTTCGCAAAGTCGACAACGACCTTTTTCTCCAACATTTGATAGATGACGCATGTCATCATACTTCACGATCAATATGCCGAGCCAAGGTTGGCTTTTTATTTTCTCTTTAGCTTCTGAAACTTGTATGTTACCGTTATCTGCTATAGTTGTTGACTTCAACGCAAGAAAAATGTGTTTATCATTTAAATCAGTTCAGCGGTATAAGCTTGAAGACAGACAACACAGAGACAGACAGCAAATTCTTCCTCTCTCCTAATAAATATATTTTAATGTCGAAATATTGCCAAATAAAATAGGCGATCTTTTTTTTCACTGATGGTCTGATGACATTCAGGGTGACTTTGAAATCGTTGGCATCCTTTTAATATAAGACTACTCATGATAACTACATAGTGCATTCCCCAAATATGAGACAAATCCAATGAGATTTTTGGTCATTATTTTAACTATCTATTTGTATTAGTGTGCTCTTAAAAAGAGTTTAAAACTATTGTACAGTCAACAATACATCATCCTATACATTTTGTTGCAAAATAACACTTAATACCTAAATTGAAATCTGTACAAGATTTCATATATTGAAATTTTAATTCATTTGATATGACTCATATTTGGGGAATCATGAGTAGTCTTATTTTAAAAAGAATGCCAACGATTTCAAAATCACCCTGTATAATGCAGTTCAGTCAGATTACGCAGCAAGTAAACTAATTGAATTTTCGCTATTCAATCACATACTCACGATGGCAACCGAAATCGCCCGAATGAGGGTTTTCGCGAATAAAAAATCCGCCAGATGGCAATACGTAGACGCGATGCTGCATGATTGGTTATTTTTAACATGACATTGACAGATATGTCAAAATTCACCAATCACGCAGCAGTCAGACCCCACATCCACGTCCCGCCATCTAGCGGATCTTTCATTCGCGAAAACCCTCATTGATCTGCCCCTTAGGCCTCAGCCTCGAGTTTAGCGGGCAGCGGGGCGGGAGCGGCGGCGGCGCGGGAGCGGGGCGGGCAACGCAGACCCGTTCTCGAAACAAGCGGGCAGCTCGCGCGGCGCTTTAGCGGCGAAGTGTTGTGTTCGGGGTTGTGTTGTCGAGATATTTGTTTATTCGCAAACGAAATGTCTGAACAACGGCGACAATTTCGATTCAAATTTATTCCTAACGCTCGATTTATTGTGGGCAAAAGAAGGAGTGCGCTGCCCGCTCGTTGCCTGCTCCCGCGCCGCTGCCCGCTCGTTGCCCGCTCCCGCGCCGCTGTTTTCGAGNAAACGAAGTGTCTGAACAACGGCGACAATTTTATTTCGATTCAAAGAAGAACGGTCACGCCCCATACAAAAAAAACCCAGACCCGACAGAAACGAGACATACCTCAGTTTTTTTGTCATGTCTTAATTAGTTAAATTATATATTTTTTATATTCGAAATCTATGTATAACACCAAAATATTACCCTTTGTTTTTGTTCAGTCAGACGTTATACAAAAACTAATACAAAATGCCTATTTATAGCCGCCATAGCAGCTGTAATAGACATTTAGGTACAAACATTTACCAATTTTGGTGATAAATAGGCATTTTGTATTAGTTTTTGTATAACGCGTGAACAAAAACAAAAGGTAAAATTTTGGTGTTATACCTACATTGATTTCGAATATAAAAAATATATAATTCAACTGATTAGGACATAACAAAAAAACTGAGGTATGTCTCGTTTCTGTCGGGCCTGGGTCACAGATGACTGTTCTTCTTTATTCCTAACGCTCGATTTATTGTGGGCAAAAGAAGGAGTGCGCTGCCCGCTCGTTGCCTGCTCCCGCGCCGCTGCCCGCTCCCGCGCCGCTGTTTTCGAGAACCGGTCTATTTGATTTTACGCATAAGATCCTTCCGCTCCCGCGCCGCCGCCGCTCCCGCCCCGCTGCCCGCTAAACTCGAGGCTGAGGCCTTAGACGAGTGGCAAAATCTGACATTCTATTCGAACGAATTCGATTTTCGAAAAGTGTGACTTGTCTAGTCCACTAGACCCACTGATCGCGTTCGAAGCACCTGTACCGCGCTAAACTCGTTACGACATGCAACATGACAATGGGACAACTATCCGGCCGCCGGATATCCGGCTATCCGGCCTAGCAGCTCGCCGGATATCCGGTATCCGGTATCCGGCCAAACAACTATCCGTTTCATCTCTAATTAAAAGCTTAAGAGAAGATGCCAGCATTTTAATTTAAATAATATGGTACAAATAATAAAATATTAAAGATACTTACGAGAGTCATTATGTCATTTGCAAGATCTTTTGCCAAGTCAGTGGATATGAAACAACTAAGCCCACTAAGAGCAAGTCCAGCTTCATATTGGTTCTGAGCATTCAGATCTTTGCGGATCATGTTTGTGGTCAACATAAGTAACTCAGAATCAGCATGAAAGGACTGACTGGCAGCCAAGTAACCAATTCTTTTATAAGTGAACTTATTTGAGCTCATCACTTCTATTACATTGAATATGGCCCAAGATATATCATATCCCAGCATTTGAAGCTGAAAATATAAAAGTGTATTAATTGTATAAGGGTGCTGTGATATAAATTTTGTAAGTAGTTTATCTAAACCACTCATTACTAATGTTTTGAGAGTTGTAGTGCACTACAAGTGCCTGTTAGCTTTTGATACTTGGTATCACAGCTTACACAGATGAATAAATTAGTGACTGTCTGACCTTTATTTTCAATTCTATTTGAATTTAATCAGATCAAGATGGTCCTAATACATTAAGAGATGTAAATCAAATTTATCTAAATGTTATCTGCCAGGATTGCATTACAATAAGATGTCAGAGTATAGAGCTGTAGGTTACTCTAATAATCAACAAAACTATCAATTTGGAAATCTTAAAGCAACTAGGTAGTTTTATTTGATAATTCGCCTACTTACATAGGTAAGTTTTGCGACTGCGTTAGCTTTCACTGCTATGTTATCCTGCCGCAGTTCTACTTTGATTTCTTCCATACATTGTGCTATGTATTTTGCCTGTAAAATTTGGGAATATAAATAAAAATTTAACGAGCTCTAAAGACGTGTTAATGTTTAGATAATTTGTAATGTATTCGCAACTTAATACAACCTGTACCTACCTCATTATCTTTATTATTTCGTATGCCTCGCACAAGATCAGTGAGATTTTTGTCGAACATTCTTTCGAAGTTTCCCTTGACTTTTTTCAAAGCCATATTGACCGAATATCTTGTCTAACCATCAATATGAAACTTGCAGTGAAGATTGTGCACAAATACATGAAACAATGATTTTCAGCGAAATTGAAAAATTAATTTGTCAAAATTTCATTTCACTTGACTTGACTTGACTGACTGAATGACAGTTCTCAAGCTGTGCAATGTTGGCGTATTAAGGTTGCGTTCATTAATATTTTAATGAAACTTAGCTGAACTATAACTTTAAGATGCACTTTAAATTATTAATAATTTCATGATGCAACAAGGCCAACAAGGTCTAAGCCCGATAGTCCATTTTTAATAAGATTCGAAAAGTACACAGTACAATATAAAATCAAAAATCAAAGAAATGTTTGTTTATGTATTAAACAAAACGCTATGTGACAGCAGTGACGGCCACCCGTCATACAGTTTTGTTTGACATTGACAGATCACAGATGTGTTTTTTTCAGTTTTTTGCTGTTTAAAATTTCTGCATTTTTTTCAATAATAATTCTAAAAGAATAAAATAAGTGTTCATATTCATCCAGCATAAAAATGATTATTTTTCTTAGTGAATTACAGAAAGAACATCTCAATTTACTACACAACCACTCTACTCAAGGTAAATATAACAACTCAAAAAACTTTTCAACCGAATTAATCACTAAATACTGTACTCAGTCCTTTATGATAAAATTTATGATTTGCTATTGTTTCAGTGTTAGTCGACTTTTGTAAATTGTCAATTGATTACTTGAATAATGGAATTAATCTCAAGAAGTACAGTGTTGCTGCAGGTAAGTAAAGTAAATTGTTGCTTCGAAGCTCTTACTCTTAACTCATGTTACTTGTTTACATGATAAATGTTTTTTTGTGTATTCATAAATTATTAATAGCTTTCATAAGTTTAATATTACCTATTGAACCAAAATAACTTTTCTTTTTCAGAAAAATTGGATGTACCAGTTACTACAATACAAAATTTGGTTTATGCACTTACATATCTGTTGGTAGAGGCATGTAAACATAATGTAAGTGAAATGAATGCTAACATTTTGTAATAATTCTGGGTTCTACCTTGGCCAGCGTCTATGTCATTCAACGTGGAAACGCTGCCAGCCTTCTGGGCACCGCTAACCTCAATGACGGATCTGGGGATACTTAGTATAGCTTAAGAATGTTTTTATTTTACTTTATTTTCTGTAAATATTACTTTTATTTGTACATATATAGTTATTAGTTTTTTAGTTCACTGTAAATTAATTGTAAATAACTGTAATAATTTAACTTTGTTATCAGTATTTTTTGCTTCAGATAATTACCTACTTATTGAATTTATTAATAACCATCATACTTTTCCCACAGTTATCGGACCCAGACTTCAAATCCTCAATAGCAATAGCTGGATTTTCTTCTGAGCATCAAGAGGTCCTAGTCAAATTATATGCAACTAAAAAAGCAGAACTTTCCAGTGCTTTAAATTTATTACAACAAAAAGAGCCAACTTATCAAGACCTTACTTGGCGGTTTGAAATCCAGGTAAAAAAAATATATGAAACTTTTAAGACATTGTCTGATTAATAATATGGAAAATCACTACATTGGTGTTTGTTTGTTCTAACAGGTAGCCAGTCAGAAAAGCTTAGAAGAAGTAAAGCCTACAGTTGCAATGGACTTTGTGCTTATGACACCAAAAATATTTGCACAAAATAAGGACAGTAAAGGAAATAGTACTGAACCAGTGTACAAAAACCTTTCTCCGACTCATGTAAACTTGCCCATTCAAGATGCCAAAGCTGCTAGCCAGTGTCAAAATGTGATTAATCACATACTCCTCCAATGTGATTTACCTAACTTGATGCACATGACAAATAAATTAGACCAAGCATTGAAAGAATCAAAAAGCCAACATATACGCAAAGTACAGAGGGCATTATAGACAATGAAGAGGAATATTGCTTCAGTTAAGTGACTTGTGCCATTGCTGTTTTGAAGACTATGTAAGTAAGGATACATTCCATGTATTTTGCATATAATTTAATTATTTTAAGTGATTATTATTGATATTATTTTTAATTACTTAGCTATAAAAAAGGTACCCACATTCTTTCGGCTTAAACTGAGTTAAACACATTGGAAACAAGGAATACTCCAGAAACTTAAGTATTTCCTTTCCTATAATTGTGTATTACTTACCATATTGTTAAGATTCAATTAAATACAGCATAAATATAATATTTTGGCATCAATCAGCCCTTTGATAAGGTTATGCGCACAAGTGTAACCCTAGGCTTTTTTAAAAAAACCGTCAAATCAACTTTTAACTACTTTGGTTAATCCTACCTAGAAAAATATTTTACACGAGTAATAACCTTACTCAATACTTAATCAAATAAGAATTGGTGTTCTGCAAGGCTCCATTTTTAACTTGCATTATCATAACTTAACATCAGGTGCGATTGTGGTCAAATACCTGCCTTTTTATGCATAAAAAATCGTTATTAATGTAAAGAACTAACGACATTGCATTGCAATCATATTTCTCATCAATTAACATCTCAAAAAGATACACAATTATTGAATAAAGAACTATTACAGCTAGTTTAAAAGGAATTTTTAGTTCCCCCAAAAACTTCTAATTATAGTGATAATTCGCTTAATTAACTAATGTTAAAATTGGCAAATGAATATTTAATTGTAACTAGTTTAAAGTAGAAATAAGTAACTAATATAAACAATAAATTGTGTAAAATATATTTATTTATTAATTTTAAATTAATATACAACTTAAAAAGCATCTCGTTCATTCTTATTTGAAACAATTCCACTTGTACTAAACTCAGATAAATCAATTTCGCTGTCGTCTTTCTCAGCAACTAACTTAGGTTTGACAAAAGCTTTGTTGTTAACGACTGGTCGTGGGCTTTCCGAATCATCTAGAATCGAACTGCCTAAACTAGTATTACTTCCAGCAATACTTGAAGCTCGCAACAAGGGTGCTGGGGCTAACACGTCAATGCCTCCTACTATAGCAGTTGAAGGAGTATCGTTGCGCCGAGCTAATTGCGATTCTATGGTCTTCGTAAGTTCTGCTATCTTAGGACTTGTCCGAGAGCTGAGTTGTAGTTTTGTATCGTTCTTCAGTGGCTCATTTTCAATGCTGTAAAGATCAAGTATAGTTAAGTAAATTGTGAAACACATACTTCTTAAAATATAAAACACTTAAATTATACTTAAAAGTTGATAAGTACCTTGATATATCCCACTCTTCTCCATCCAAATTTATTAAACCGAGTTCGTATTTCTCATTTCCATCACTTTTCTCAGTTAGACTCTGAGATGGTGAGGCACTTAGAGATTTCATTTGTATTGCTTCCATATCGAACAAAACTTTCTTCTTGTTTAAAGAAGACGTCGAGGATGCATTTTTCAAAACTCCTTTTGTTTGTTTTGGATTACTTTGAACATCTTTAGTCAAAGGTTCTTCTTTGTCTGAGGATTCTACGTCAGTACTATTGTCTTTAATTTCATGTGAAGGTTTGCTATTGACTATAATATCTGCTTTTGAATTAGAAATATTTGTGGCAGATTGTGAACGAAACAAATTATCTTCAGAAATCGTATACTTCTTTACAGTGTCTTTATAATCAGAACTTGCCGAAAGTGGTCTACGTGCAGGAGACTTAATAAGATTTTCTATTGATTTTGAACACTGCTTGACAACAGTTTCGTGGTATTTGTGCTCATTTTGGGAAGATTCACTGTCTGAATCTGTGTCAGTATTTATAACAGAATGACGCCTTGCAGAGTTGGTTGTTTTATCTTTAGTTTTATCTGTTGCATTTGAATTATGTCTTTTCTTTACAACGGAAACGTGTCTTGATTCTGGATTAGATTCAATTTGAGACTCCGTTGTAACATAATTCACATGTTTATTAACAGGAGTTGATGGTCCTGAATCGGGTGGTGTATTGAGCAAAGTCATAACTCTTCTAGCAACTTCTGCATTCAAAGTCTTTCTTTTATCTTTAGTAGCGACATCATTTGATTTGACTAAAGATAGAGCTTTGCTCTTTACATTTGAAATCACCGAAGTAAAACTAAATGGTTTGGAAATCTTATTTGGTGAAACGTAATCTTGTGGTGGTAAAACAATTTTACGTGGTACTTTTGAATCCAAATATGCTAAAATGGAATGCCGGATTTTTTCATGTGTAGGATTTTCCTAAAAATAGTATTATTGTTTAATAAATATACTAAAGTGTAATTTAGTTTAACCGATTGAGACCCAAATTAAATCTTATTAATTATGACTTCATTCATACCTTAGCTTTCATCTCTTGTTCTTGTTGCAATTGCATTTTCCGTTTTTGGTAATCGAACTTAGGAAGGCTACTTTTTAGAGGATCTACTCCAGCTGATATTAAACGATTATTAACTTCCTCGGTAATTTTTGCTCTTAATATTTTCATTGGGCTGAAAACAATCATGTCATAAGTATAAGCAATATTTGGTTTAAAGATATATAATTTTGCGTAGGTACCTACCTTCCTGGTACGATAACTGTCCCATTTTTTTCTATTTTATTCGGTAGTGATTTTGATTTCGTTTTTTTACCCTTTATTTCTCTATTATTATGAGAATCATGATTATTTTTTGTGTTAGTAGTTCGTTGCAAATGATTGCTATCTAATTTGGGCTTTACTTTATTGACCTCGTCAGTCTTGTGGTTGTGCATTTTGTTTCCTTGTAAATCTTTCAGTGTTTTTCTTGGTTTCGGGGACTTTGCATTTTCCACACTTAAATCTTCTGAAGAACTAGTGCTAAAAGAACCCATATTTAGTAATGCTTGTGCCTTCTGATGGAGTTTTTTAAGAGTTTCTCTATCGGCCTCGGGAGTTGTTTTTAGAACAGCTTTTTTCTTCATTGGTGTTTTCTTAACGTCACCATCTTTTTGACTCGATTCCTGAAAATTATTATTGTTTCTTATGTATTGAATTTTTAAAAATGTATTACCTACACATGTTATTGTAAAGGATTTTAGAATTATACATACTAGTTTTGATTTTGGCAAGTCTTCTTTTTGTGGTGAAGTTTTACTATTTTTTATACTTTGTTGCAACATATCTTCCAGCTGTGCCACTCTCCTTCTCTCAGCATCAGCCTGTGCTCGAGATTCTTGTGCCTCTGTCGCCACTTCGTTCAACTTTTGTACTAAAGATTCATACTGTTTTGCGTGTGTTTCGGCTCGGTTTGTCCATAGCGCCATTTGAGTTTCTGATTCCTTGCGTCTTTCAGCATCTTCCTTCTCGATTTGTGATCTCTGTAAAAAATAACAGCTCGAAAAATATTAAATGGACCTAAAGATTAAAATCACAGTTCAAAATACTTACAGAATTAATTAGTTCTTGTTTCAGAGCTAATATTTCAGCTCCCTGTTTGCTTATTGTAATATTTAGCTGCTCAATTATTTTCAGTTCTGTGTTTGGCACAGGAGTTTCTTTGTCTTTTATGGATTTGATTGTATCCATAATTTGACTTCTAAGTAAGTCTATCTCTTTATGATATTTATCTTGTTCTCCTTTTTTCCATTCTTCAATCTTATCTAGTAAATAGTCTTCATTATTTGTGGCAACCTCAACATCTTTTGTTTGCTTTAAAACTGTATTAGTTTTATAATCATTTTCTGTAATACTTTCTACTTTGTTTTGACTAATCACGTTAGCATTAGCTTGCTCTGAGTTTTGTTTTATCGCACTTTCCATCTCTTTCAATTTTAATTTGAGCTCTAAAATTTCGTCCCTTAATTTTGTATTTTCTGTAATATTCGGTTGGTTTGGTGAACTATCTTCAGTGTCCCTTTGTGGCATTTCCATGATATTCGAATGCCGTCTTGAAATATGACTTTTGAGGTAAAGTTGATTCAAAAATACTTTATCGCAAAAGTTGCATTTATTGTATTGATTTACGTCACCAGCGGCATAAGAAAACAATTCGTTCTTTTGCGATAATGTTTTCAAAATCATGCTGGCTATGTTATCATTTCCATATGGAAGGGGAGTTCTGTATGTGTGTTTGGTTTTTCTTTTTAATTTACGGATTTCTTCATCGCGGTCTCTGAGTTCTTTTTTAGTTGAATCGAGTTCCTGAAATTAACCAATAGTTGAGTAAATTGTTTTGATGTGTTTATGTTTTGTAGATGAGTTTTGTTAGTGACCTGTGCTAGAGAAGTTATTTCCTCACGTAATACGTAGACGCTGCGGTCTAGGTAGTGGCGGCAGAACTGTTGGTACTCGACGGCGAGTTGCGCGAGCCGGAACATCTTCAACACGCCCTCGTCCAATATACGCACGTCGAACTCCGACTCCAGAACACAGTCCAGGATCTATACAAAAATAATAATAATAAATTCTAGATTAACACACCGACACTGCAGCATTTTCATCTATGGCTATAGTATAGAATAAAATGAATTTGTAAAGTAATGAGTATTGTAGGTATTTACTCACGTCATTAACATGTTGTTCGATTAATACGAATTTCTTCTCACGTATTAAACTGTCTATGTCAATTAATCCTGCAAAAAATAAACCTCTAAGTTAGCTGAAGGTAATAAATAACTTTCAAATAAATACGAAGCTGATCTGATCTTCAACCTTAAGAGACGCATGTCTAAAATATGGGCAGGCGGGTATTTCTTAGTAATTAACTATACTTAATGTATATTATTTACTTACTGATTTTATTCCAGTCGATGTGTATTCGCGGACGATGATTGTTGAAAGCGAATCCTGCTTCGTCTGCTATCTTGGCAAAGTTGTGATGCAACTCGTAAGAAGTTTTGCATGCCATATTGAATGGTTATTTTCAATTTTAATTACTTGTTAATACATTTTAACCTATTTCTATTATTATTTTATTTAATAATTAAAAGAAACTAGTAAACACAGTGGAAGAATAAACTTGGCGTGGTTTGACATCGGCTTGTTTACATTTTTGATAGTTGCTAAGCAACAGGGTGTGGGAGTCATAGAGAAGTGATCATGGTGCGATCACAGTGCGGTGAAATGATTGATTTGTTTGCGTTGTCGTGCTCTCTAGGTTTACATCTTATGAATGCCTTTGAGGTTGAAATTAATAGTTGAAAAATAAAATAAAGTGGTCGATTAAAAATTTATATCTTTTCAGTGAAAGGAAGACTAATTTTATAAAATTTTTCATAGGCTTCTACATTTTTCATCTATCAATCACTGCTACTTAATTATGTTCCAATTACCAATATCCTATTCTATTTGGGCTCACATCTCTCAGTTATGAATCCTACTCTATAAGTGTGTTTTATTATTTGAGTAAAAATAAATATCTTAGCATCGTATTTCCATTTCCTAGCTCAAAAATTACAAACTACCTGTAGGGTCAAATGAAAAACTTTTGTTTGTGGTAATTACCACTTTGCTTGATAAACTTTATTTGGTCCAAGATACAGAGCTTGTTTCATCGTAATCTATCGCAGTACCTATATCTAGAGGAGCAGTCTCATGGAAGGGGTGGCCTAGCGACACCGTTCATTTTATCATTTTTTTGTATTTTTTTACGTGCCGTCGGCCTTTTTAAGCAAATGTCAGGTATAAGAAAAGTGTGCAACGTTCAACTCGACACCCAAAACGTGAACTCAAAATACGCAGGTTTGGAAATATTATAAAATAGTTTGTGACCGCCTGAGTATTTTGCTCAGCACACGCTCTGTGTTCAAGTTCATAACTTTGTACAAATGTAAATGTTCGCGTATAAAAATAAATAACATCGCATTGGCAGAAATCGTGTGTCCGATGGGCGGTGTGGCCAAGTCTGGTGTTTACGCGGCGGGCTTCTCCTCGGAAGTGGCGGTGGCGCCGGAGGCGACCGAGCCGCTCTCGTCGGGGGACGCCTGGCACGACAGCGATGGGAACTTCTTGTATAGCTCAGCACGGTATTTCGGATGGCTGAAAACACAAACATTCGATTTAATCATAAATCGACTCTATCTAGTGGTGTAGAAGCCCCAGAAGTTGGGATTCATTGGAGATCCTGGCTACACGAGTTACAGTGGAGGAAAAGAAAGAATAGTCCCGTTTAGTTGCATAAAAATCGCTGGCACTAATTTTGAACATATTGGAGAAATCAGGATCAAAGCAAATGAAAAACATTTCTTTGTATAGATACAGATTGGTGGTACTTCAGAAGCTGTCAGATATAGTTACGGACCTGATACCATATACAATAGGATTGTATACGGCGTTAGCTTTGGCGAACAGGGATCCCCAGATGGTAGCTAGAGGGCTGATGGGGGCGCTCTCGAATACTCCTGTGTAGTTGATCACCAAGTACGGTGTCCAGGCCATGAACCACAGAGAGATGGTCATCAACGCAACCTACAAATATTACAGATTAGATAATATAAAATAAAAAGAGACGAAAACAACAACAGATCAGAAATTTATTGTTTTGGACCTTAGTGCTCGTGCATTACCTTGGCTAGTTTGCATTCAGCGCTGGTGTTGGCCGCTTCGGAAGACCTAAGGGAAGCCACATTCATTTTCTTGGCTTGTTCACGCATGCCTTTCTCGTGGGCAGCTACAGCCTGAAATTAAGAGGCATTATTAAGAAATTAACTAACAACACAGTTGAGTTAATTTTGCATGTCGTGGGAAGAAAGAATATTCTTACCTGTACAATGAAGAAATAAGAATAGATAATAAGCAAAAGAGGCATGAAGTAGCAGAAGACGGAGTAGATGAGAATGTAGCTTCGGCTAAACCAGTCCTTGTTCAAGTAATCTGTTCCACAAGCAGTCATGTTACCTTCTGGGACATATCTGGAATAACAGAAGCATAATCATTGTTAATTTTCTTAAACCATTTGGTCATCACAGTGATGAGCAGGAAACATAAAGGTTTGTTGACATTATTAGGTAGTCGTTTACCTATTCCAGCCGAAGAATGGAGCGAGCGTCCATGCAAGAGAGAACAGCCAGATTCCAAGGATGCGCAGTAGAGCTCCGTTGTTGGTCATAGGCTTGGCGGCGATACCTTTCACGATGACGTTGTAGCGGTCGAAGGCGATCATAGTCATTGTCCAGATTGAAGCACAGCCAAATAGAGAACCCGCGCAAGCGTACAGTTCGCAAGCCAGAGGACCTGAAACGAAAAACCAAAATTAAACCACTTGAAAACTTAGAATTATATCTTTTTGGGCAACTTAACTTTGTAGCTAAACAATTACTTACCCCATACCCAAGTCTCATTATAACAGTTCACAACCATAGCCGGAGACATCGCGCACATCATCAGAAAATCGGAGAAAGCAAGATTGACGACCAGTAGATTTGACGGCGTTTTAAGACTCTGAAAATGAAGCACTTATTAAACTTCAGCAAACAGCAGTGCAATTTATTATACCACCTAGATATTTCCTCTGTGGTTATAATATGTATGTACCTTGGTGCAAGTAAAGATGTAGATGACCATTCCATTGCCAGTGATTGAGATGAAGCCGAGAACGCCGATAGTGAAACCCAAAAGACCGTGCCATAGCGGGTTCATAGGTGGAAACTGATACCTAGAATGAGACAGTCATTTTAGGTCAAAGTCAATACTCAAGTATGTTTATTGCTTCCTCGAATTGGTATTGTGACCAATCCTTCAAGATTTAGGAGTTGTTTCAGAATACGCGCCTTAATTTGGTGTCTGTTATACTTACCAGTATGGATCGACCATATGCAGCATGTCGGGAGGCACTTTATCGACGACGGTCTGGTTGGCGGCGCCATAGGCGGCCACCTGCCCGCCCCACGCCTGCAGCGCGGCGACTCCTGGGCCGGGGTCCAAGCTGGCAATTGCCATGATCACAAGACTTCTGTTTGCTTAACCTGAGAAAAATAGAACCTCTATGAATTAATATCGTTTTAAATATGGGTATCAAAATGTTCCCTTTATTGAGTCTTTTACATGTAAAGCGAAGTAAAATCCAAACAGTAGTTCCTAAAACTAAATAAAGACAAGAATTAAATAAACAAATCCACTTACTTAAAAGTTCCAAGGAAGGGGTGGACGCCCCGAGATGGTTATACCAAAAGTACTGAAGAAAATCGCTGCACGAACTACTCCAGACTTTAGTTTTGTAACCAATCTCGTGTCGTGGCGGGGTTGCCAAGGTGCGGAGGCTACTCGTCTTATACCGCGCTGCGGCCGTCTTTTATACACTTCTAAGGATTATAACTAAGACGTCACAGAAAAAAAATCGATATTTATAATGAGATAGATATGAAGGTGAATACATCACCTACTCTACTTTGATGCTTTTTTGCACAGGGCTGGCTTATATTTTCTAAAGGATTTCTTTCATAGTGGAAAAACTGAGTAAAATGTCACCTTCCATCTTATGCAAGTTCAATTAAAACTTTGCTGTGATTAAAATTAAACCCATATCGAAGTAAGTTGGTGTTTAGTTATTTTTCCAGTTCTCATCATTTCGATTTGCATTAGTCGGACCACGTTCCTTATGGAAATCTGTTTACTTGTTCTGTGTGAGAGTATCAGATCAGATAGTTAGATTCTGCTCTATTTGTCAACAATCTAGAGTTCGGGACTTTAAGAGTGATTCTTTGGGTTTTGAAGTTCACAACTTCACATACGCTATGATCGTAGTCACTCGTCTATTCCTATCATCAGGGAGTTATGGCCAGTGTGATTTATTATTATGCATTATTAGTTCATTTTAATCAAATCCGTCCCTGGCACTTGGTCTTATGCAGCAGCTAATATAGTTATAAGGCTACCAAGAAGCATAAGGGAATAAAACTAACAAGATTACGGGGCTAGGAACTGTAGAGACTGCATTTGTAAGATATGCATGTACTCGTATGTGTAACCTACCTGTTTAATAATATTAGATACATATTTGTGTTTTGTGGTATCTCTTCGAAATATCAAAATCATCGATCAATAAAATTGATGTTGATCAAATATAAATTATTGAATGCTACTGCTGGAGGGTCGTCGTACATACAAGTCTTTTTAGGCACCTATACATATGTATACTAGACTAAGAGCTAGTGAACGCCAGACCTACGTTATTTTATAAAAGCTGAAAGTTTGTCAGCGTATACTCCCAATAAAGGTTAGAATGCTGGTGAATCATGAAGTTTAGGTCATCGTGGCTTTGGCAGCTATCCTAAAAAAACTGTCCGGCAAGGAGTTAGAACTGTCAAAACTATCTGGCTAATGTGGAAACAACTTCTAATCATTGCTCAAATATATATATAAATATTATGCATAAAAGTCAGATTTTTTGGTATAACGTACGCCTAACTTTTACGGTGGCTTTTTCTGTATATTCAATAGGCTGTAATTCTTCTTACGTTTACGTTTGCCTTCACTAAGCTATTATCATAAAATAACATGATCTGATCAAACTGCAGGCACCTAAAATCTCCAAGGCAAGATAGTTAAAGGTTAGGTGCCAGCACTGCCAGATCCAGACGGTAATTTTTCGATAAGTAGGTATCGTATGATTTCAAAAGGCACTTGCTATTGTTTGTGTTTATAAAAAGAATACCTATAACGAATTTAAAAAAGAAGGAGCTGAAAGCAATAACAGATTTAAGTTTATTTTATCCATTATGTCAAACATGAAGCAATCGTAAATCGTCAAAGACAATAATTCAGACAAATACAGAGAAACTAAATTAAACAAATCCTATGAACGATGTGAGATTAACCAGTTTTTTACATATATCTTGCTTATTTATTGGTCATTATAATAATGATATATTATAGTAGGCATTAAACTTGCACGATAGATCGGATTACAAAACAAAATAGCGGATAAAATGTCTACAACTCTGTAATTATCAAACAATGAAGGAAAAAGATTTGGAAAACTAAGATTTTTCCCGCGACAACGTTCCGGAAACGGGCTACTGACAGATGTCACCAATTACTTCCGGTGCGTTCCGAAATTATTCCTAACGCAAATTCCGCGGTTTATAAAATGATCTGTGCTGATTTTTCAATCGTCGGATAACTTTTATCTGAAGAATAAAATTGACATTTTGACATATTTCCCATACTGAAACTGTCAATGTGCCAAACTTATTTTTCAGTAAAAGTTATCCGATAATTGAAAAATCAGCCCTAATGTAAAACCAGTCAATAAATTATATAGTTCCAAAATACTGAACTGTCCTATCGATGACATTGACAGCGGGGCGCCACCGTCAATACCGAATCGCTGGTTCCGATTTTTGCCATGTTGGAAACCATAAAGTTGAACGATGGTAGCGCCCCCCTGTCATTGAGTTTGGCGGGACAGTTCAGCGTGGGTCATCTATATTAGACTTGCACTTTCTAAGATTCTTTTGTTTCAATTAGATTCAAAAACAATTATGGTTGAGGTTAAAATGAATTTAAGTTCTTAAGAACTTGAATTTAAAAATAAAAAATATGCGTTGAATTGAAGTGTCTATAATTTTATGACTTAATAAATTAATTCATAATTATTTATGAATAATAATGAATAATTTATTAATTTTATGACTAATAATTTACCTGAGGAAGTTTCGGAACGGAATACAAACGTCAGTGTCATGGATGTCAAATTGTCAATCAGCAAAACTCGTTTTGGCCCGGTCGAGTCGAGCAGATTGTTGTTTTCATGATAAATTGTAAAAAGTACTTGAATTAATTCAATAATAACTACTTACATAAAGAAGAAAAAAAAAACTACTTACAAACATTCTACGACGATGGATTCAATCGACGATATAGAATTAAGTGACGAAGAAGAAGAAATAACAGCAGACACGGTGTTAAAAACATTGCAAAGTGCTTGGCAAAACGAACGTCTGGCGCCAGAAATATTACCACATCACAACGACATGGTGGAGTGTATGCTTGGACAAATACAACACATGGAGAGGAACATAAACAAACTCCCAAAGACTGATCTGCGAGCTTCTATCCATAAAATGGAGCTTAGCAGGATAAAATTTGTCATATGCAACTACCTTAGAACAAGACTAAACAAAATTGAAAAGTACTGTATTCATATTATTAACGAAGAGAGGCAAAGGATGGAGAGCGGCACAAATTACCTGACACCATCGGAATTTAAATATGCACAAGATTATTTGCTAAACATGGAGAATCATTTGAAGACTGTTGTGCTAGATAAAATGCCTGGCAACATGCAGACGCTTGAAATGAATAAAATGGCCATTTACCCGAATTTACAAACACATGTATTCTTGAAAGCCAATGATACAGTGACTGGTGTTGTGTTAGAGGACCTTGTTGGGGATCAGGATGAAGAAATAGATTTAGAAGGTAACTTATTCAATCAAGTTTCTAATGTATATTTTCATACAATACAAGTCAAATTATATTGTAAATTCTACAATATTCCACCTGTCAATTGAGCTGCTGTCATCCAGCGAGCGAAGACTTTAATTTCTTCTTTTTCTATTTTCCAGAGGGATCACAGCATATACTACAGTATAAACCTATAGCAGATTTGGTAAAGAATGGGAAAGTTCAACTTGTATGACGAAGTATGTTCCGTAGGCTAAATCACAAACTTATGGTGGTGTGTTCATTTACCATTATTCAACTTAGAATAAGTATAAAGTTTTAAAATGAACTAAGTAGTGCTCATGCTATGAAGTTGTTTTTATGAAACTTTTTAAATAAAATGTGTCTGAAACTAATGTTTTATAAAACTAAGTTTTCTTGTCTGAAACAGTTAAGTACAATGTTTTTTTTAACAAAATAATATAAATCTATATCAATCAAATGCATTTTCTATTATTATATCTGGTTTGAAACAGTGTGGTAAATGAAACATTTGAAATAATTCAATTTTTATATTCTTCATATTAAATATACAAGGCTGATTTAATTGTAAACATACACAGTGAAAATAATCTCATTAACACTTAGGACATATTGAACATTGTAACATCCATAACATATTGGAATGAATATTTTACTGCCATTAACAATTATTTATAGGTCTGACACAACAAAAATAAAAAAAATGCATACAATTACCCTCATTACTGGTATGGTACATAACTTTTTGTGATAAAGCATAACGTACCTCACAGTTATTATTATTGTTTTTGTTTTGTTCATGTCATCTCTGTCGTAAAACTCGGTAATTAAAGTTAATAAGTCAAGTTCAAAGTGGTAATAAGTGTGTTAAGGTTTTAATGTACTTGTTTACAGTAATTTGCACACTAAACACAATTTATGAGCTCAGACATAAACAATACCACAAATAACAATACTAAAATGATTATAATAAATGAGGTATGATAAAATTTATCACAAAATATCTTTTTTATTTTTAGTGATCAAAACCACCTTCCATTATCAAATACCTATTGTACTCTTCTTTAAAGTATCAATAAGATATAACATCAGATATCTTGTAACAATACTTAAAGTTTCACATTTAACAAAATAAACTTGGTAGGTAAAGGCATGTCCAGCAGTGGACAAAGGCTATAATTATTATAATATTTACTATTTCATAGTTATTACTTATACGTTTTTTAACGAGAGAGGTAGATACATAATTGTAAATATTTGTTTTGAATATAAAGTAGATTTATTAAAAATAGTTATTATTGTGTTATCCATACTTACAAAAATTGATTCCTACAAGGGCCTTGGATAGCCTGGTAATTAAATAGTAGTACTTAAAATGGCAGTAATTATAATATATCTTACTGCAGATGCTTAGATGTGAGTGCATCCACTCTGTATTTGTGAAAAGCACGTAATACTAGCTTCGAAAATTTTGACCAAATAAGTTTTTAGTAAGTATAACATATTTTTAAAAAAACTAAAATCCACATGGACCAACATTTTATTATCATTCAATGATGTTTAGATAGTAAAAATAGATTGATTTATTAATATTATTTGAACAATAGGCATGGCTGGGCACCGTTAATCAAATAGTTAACTTCGTTAATCGTTAAACCGTTAATAAAAAAATTAACTTCGTTAAGCGTTAAAACGTTACATTTCNTATTAATAAATAAAAAATATTTCCAATTTAGTTTGATTTAGTTTGCTAAAGTTATAGACGCATTCCTTCGAGTGACGTCATATCGCCAGCGGCAAACTTATCGCGAACGGATAGTATGCTTAAGGCGGAGTGTAGACTAGACAAAATATCTGACAAAGAAGTAACGTCACAAATATTTAAAACTGCAAATAGTTAAGTAAGTATGTAACATTAGAATTATTATTTTTATTCTATGTAATTTTGATTCTAAAAACAAATACTAAGCCGAAACTTTGAATGTTGGCACTATTTTAAACAGCTTTTAGATTCAAAGACAAAATTAATTCGTTACATACCTACATATTTTTATAATACACACTTGTCACAATATCTACATGATCATTCGATAAAACTTCAAAACTTATATCGTCGTATTATCTTCAAGAAATATTATGTACATATTGATTGAGGCAAGTAATAATTGTCTAGTTTCATAGAAATTGTACAATCATTAGATAATAATTGTTTCTATGGTCCATTTTCAAAAAGTATAAGACAAAAATGTATCCCTGGACTGGACACGCGTCCATCTTACTAAAGACACCAAATTGTCGTTATTTAATTATGTATAGGTTTTTGTGTGATTTACTAATCATAGTTTATAACATAAGACCTTTGTTACTAACACTTTTATGGGCTGTGCCTGAAATAAATACCTTTTATTTTATTTTATTTATTTATTTATTTAAAATAAGGAACACAAACTTACAAACAACTTACACTATTTTAATCAAAATTACAATATGTTGAGCTCTACAAATTATTTTCAATAGTTCACTTGGAAGCTGTACAAGAACTACTAAACCCAACCAAATGCAAGTTTTATGACAAATGTCAGAAATTACCTTAAACATGAAATGGACTTAGAATCAATGTCTTTATCAATATAAAACACGTGATACAAATTTAAATCTTAAAATATACAATTTGAGCGATATCTCTTAAAATTAAAAGTATTGCTGGGAAGTAAACAAATATTTTTACAAAATAGAATTGACATACTTATTGTATGTTTAAATCTATAAGATACATTTAAATTGTAAGAAGTAATCACATTGCTTGCAAACAACGTTAAAAATACATTTATAGTATCATAGATACTTCGAATGAATAAAAGTTATTTACAGACAGAATACAATATAGTAAACATGTCCAAGACTAATAAAATGTTTGTGCTTATTACAAGCATTTGTACCCAGCGGGGTTCGAACCCGCAACGGAGTTATAGTTCGGCAAGCGAACCAGTTCTAGGCGGCTAATGCTAAACAAAAAAAAAAAGTCTGTCAACCTTAATTAAACAGAGAGATCAAAACGAAATGTACAAATTTCAATACATAGAATCTTAACACTGTGCCCGTAATTTTACTTGAAAGAAACAACACCTATTTTGTATCTTTCACGCGCCACTGAAATGCCGGACACAGTATTGTAAACCTTAAAACCATTAAATAAAATACACATTTCAATAATAGTAAGCGGTGAGCGCAATGAAGCGCTTGCCAATGAAACTTTGCTCGATCTCCAGCGCGCCATTCTTGCGCCTTCCTAAATTGACGAGCTGAAACAAGGATAACAAAATGTTAAGAATCTTAATACATAGTAGAGGTAACTACAATATTAGTGAAGTCAATGAACAAAGTGGGATTTCTATCGATTAATTATACGACACAAAACTTATTTGCTTTTAAAATAAAGAAATGGCAAGTGACTTTAGGCCTATTGGTACAGTCCGCGTCAAATAGTTCGTGACACCCAAGTAGCTAAAAAGTTCGCAACACGTCTTTGTTACATTGGAATAAGGTTGTGAATGTGTTGTCAATTTATCGGCTACTTTGGGTGTCACGAAGTGTTTGACGCTGACTGTATCTGTGGAGAAATCGCGTTTTACAAGTTCGTAAAAAGTGTTTTATGCTAAATCATATTCATTTAAAAAATGATGGTGTTTACATACCTGATTGCACGTGGTATTCCTTGGCACATACATCGCTACGTATGGCGATATTGACAGCGCGGTCTTCATAAGCTCCGACGCCGGTCTCGGCTCGAGCATCGTTTCCAAGTTATAGTTTTTTACCTGAAAGAAGAACGAATATTAGATTCCTGGTATATTAAATCCTAAAGGTTTAAAAAGGGTCGCAACAAGTTACGAGGTTTGATAGTGAAGCTATTTAGAATCTGTGATAAAATAATATTATGATTTTCAATGCTGGTGTAGTTTGACTTAGTTACAAATGAAAGTTTTAGTTTATTTACAAGTCCATGAAGATCAGAAGGATAGTTTCATGATAGGCAAGTTCTGGAATGAATATTGGGAGTCTATTATTATGGAAAGTTTTTCTAAGCAAAAATTAACATTGAGAAATCAATTAATTGAAAAAGGTAAGAGATGAGGTCAATAAAGTTATTGAAATTTTACATATCATCTGCACATAAAGGTGAAAATCCTGTGGCGAAAATAAACTTACCTGTGAGTACTGTGGTCCTCCCCAGGGTGGGCTCAAAAACACCATATCGGCTTTTAGCGTCGGCGCGAGCTCGAAGAAATCGCCCACTATGAATTCTATGCGGTCGGCGACGCCATACACTTTTGCGTTGTGTCGAGCCAATTCAATCTTCAACGGATCAATATCGACGGCTATAACTGTGGGAGAATAAGTTTCGTTAATAAAAAAATATAGAAGAAATCAGTAGGCCTAGAATGCGCGCCGTGATAAGCGGCTATCACGCTATTTTATCGATTTTGCCCATACATTTTAACGTCGATAAAAGTTATCACGGCGCGCATCTTAGGCCTGTGGAATAGAGATAATAAGACGGGAAATATCTGGCCTTTGAGAAGTGAAAAATCTCAAGTGCTGTGGATTATTAAGATGGATAAAATTAAGTCCAACATCGAAGTACCTATCCAACATTTTCGTGCACGGATCATACTGGTCATAAGAAACAATGTAAATAGAAAAGTAAAGGCTACAATCTTTAATTTTGAAAGTAGATTAACTGTATTACGTCTCGAAAACGAAATAAACAAAACATAAGAAGATTTTAACGGGAATAGAGTATTTAACAGGTGATTGTCTTGTAATCTAGAGAGCTTTAAAAAATAATCAGATAACAAACAAGTATGTAAATTATATGCTATAACTAGCTGACCCGGCGAACTCTGTTCCGCCTTAATGGCAATAAATAAGCAGACTTTTTTTTTTAATTTCGAACGGGATAAAAAGTATCCTATGTCCTTCTCCTGGCTCTAAACTACCTCCCTGACAATTTTCAGCTAAATTGGTTCAGCCGTTCTTGAGTTATAAGTGGTGTAACTAACACGACTTTCTTTTATATATATATAGATGAAAACAGCACTAACCTTTCGCGCAAGTCCTGGCGAACTGTATGGTGTTGCCTCCTGCGCCACAGAATGCGTCTAATACTACGTCATATGCGAATTTGTTGGCGATATGCCACGCCACGCTTTCTGGAGTCACGCTGAACCAACTCTCGTGGTCTAGTTTTATGCCTTCGTCGAACCTGTGGACAAATAAAACAACGTTTAGTTAAGAGTACCAAAAATATTATGAAAATGAGCCGCTTAGGAAAGATAAACTGTCGAAATAAGTAAGAGATTTGGTGAAAGAAATATGGTTTTGACTAACTTATTCGAGTGGTGAAAGTTATCTGATAAAAAAAGAATAACAGAAAACAAACTACCATTGAAGAAATTTGGTAAAAAAGAAAGAAAACAAAAAAAGAACAGAATAATAGAAAGAATATAAGTTGGTATGTGAAGTTGGCGAACTATTTGGGAGTTTATAATAAAAAACGAAAAAGAATAGAATTAATTAAGCAAATTAATCAGTCAAAATTGATTCTGAAAGCACTCGTGTTCTAATATGGATTCAAAAGTCACGGACATCAAATAAAAAAATAAAAAAAGTAAAATATCATACCTGTGGAATAGCGAGTGCCTTTTCCTCCAGTATTTCACCATTTTTGGGGCGTCTTTCAATTCCGGTGGCACATTGTCGTCTACGCTCCAGCAGTCGTATTTCTTCCCCCTCATATCTGCTACCATTTTATCTGTGAATGGAATTAGAAAATAATCACATTGTTTTTTAAGAACTACAAAATAATATTGCGTATCTTTTTGGCAGAATGGAGTATCAATAACGTGGCACTGGCAAAAACATCTGAATAACGACCAAACGAAAGGAATTATTTTATCTTTTAAACAAGTGACAATTACTTTAACGTGTAAAAAGATACGCAATGTGAAAATCGTGCCAATATAAAAAAATATATATTAGAAGCAAAAAGTGCAAAAATGGGAAATAGAACTGCAATCAAAATAAATAAGATGATATGTATGTAAAACGCGTGATTTTGAATCAGTAATTCGCCAAGACAAATTAAGAATAATTGAATGCGAACATGAAATCTATTAGCAATTCGGTCTTTAAATGCCGAAATAATTCAGAAAATCTAATAAGGCAAATTACTAATCATAAGTACACATAAATGATATTAAAAATAACATAAAATACAGAACAAAACTCTTATTCATAAAAACAACAATACTATAACGCCGTTTTAGCTATTCAATGCTTTATCACTTTTTATCAAATGTTGATGAAAAAAGACAAAACAATGTTTAGTTAAAATGTATTATAAGATACGTTATTATGAATAAGAGGGAAATAGAAATAAAATCAATTTAGAACGAATTTAGCAAAGTAACTGCGGTCGGGTCACACACGTAAAGCTCAAGAGCCGTGAGAGTGGATATTTAGAAGACTTCATGGCAAAATGAACCTTAAATCGATGTATTACAATCATTTTAAGATTGACAAAACTGCGAAGTCTTGGCAGTCAAAAAGCAACCATAATGCAATAGCATAAAGTCTATTTTGAATTGAAGTCTAATTCGTATCCAGCCTTACAGCTAAAAAGCTGAAACAACATGTAACAAGACACGCAGCTTCTTTGCTAATTTCGGAACGGAAACAGATAATACATAGAATGATAGTGACAAATGTTACACAGATATTACTCTCACGCATATTTGATGAAATCTAAGCTGGATAGGGTAGTTGCCTGTCTCGGTTGGTACAGGCGCGGATCCAGCCCTCAAAAAAGGTTGTGGGCACAACCACCAAAAATTAGCAAAGTGAGAGTTGGATTGGAGTACGAACTCACTCACGCTCAATCACCCTCGATTTTTTAAAGGCTCATCAGTCAGCCGTTTTTATCATCAGCCTATCGATCTTATCAATAGATCATAATTAAAACAAGCAAATTAGGGTTGTGGGCATGCTTACAGTGCCCACAACGGTGGATCCGCGCCTAATTGAAAGCAGTCAAATTGACTTGACCCTAACAAAAATGCCACCACCAACTAATGCGTTAGATATAATAATATAAACATAAATATACAATACATAAAATGTTAATAAAATATGATATTATAAATAGAATAAGCATGCAGCCTACGAGACCAGGAAACTACCCTATATATGGAAAAAATCGTGTGTTAAAAAGATACCTTCTAACGGACTATCATTGATCATTTGTTCCGTTACATTTGTATCCTCATTAGGATCTGTTTCGATTGCTTCTTCAACTTCACCTGTAACGTATTGCGGGTCCTGCAAAAACGCTCTAGTATAAATAGTTTTCGGCTCTGGCAGTGGCGCTGTCGGGGTCATCTGTTGGTTCTTCTTTTTCGGCGCTAGTTTGGGCCTGGCATCTTGTTCCGGCAGGTTTACTCTTTTTCTATTTAATGCTGCTGGTGCAGAGAAGTCAATCAAATCCTTGAAAGACTGTTTTGGCTTCGTGACACTTTTGTTTGGTGAAACTTCTTTGGTTGCTGTGCTTGGGATATCCATTGGGGCAGCTTCATTGGTCATGTCATCCGAATCTTCAGTGTCTACGTCGGTAGAATCAGGTAAGGCCACTTCTGCCGGCATAACTTCAACATTATCCGATTCACCGGTAGATTTACACTCGTTTTTAAATTCTTCGACGTCTGTATTAGTGGCATCAGATATCGTTGCTGGGTCATGTTTTTCACTTTCCCATACAACTTCAGTGTTCACTTCGGAATCCTCTAGCGGCACTCTTTGCTGTTGTGACTCTTGAATCTGTGAACAATATTCGCGGTTGAACATGACATGCAAACAACATTTTCATATACATATAAATATGTATAAACGTAACATAACATAAACACTCAACATTGGCAGAAATAAACCTCCCAGAGAGGAAGTTAGTCACTTCAGAGCATCAAAAATAATAAAATCTTATCAAAATCAAAAATATTTTATTCAATTTAGACCACTAGTAGCACTTATGGACGTCAAAATACAGTAAAACAAAAAAAGATGAAAAAAGAAATGGAATTTAAGATTCCATTTCCAATTGTTATTACTTTACATTGTTTTAATTGTTTAAGCTTTAAAGATATACATACAGAAAGGAATATTTTACTTACCATGTAAGGATGGACTGCTTCGAAATTCGATAGGTGTGATTTGGTCTTCTTATTGAGATTTGACTTCTTGTTATGTGGTAGAAGTAGTTTCGCCGTTGGTTTGGTGTATATTATCTGGCCCTTTGGCATTCGGGCAGAGTTTACGCAGAACCCCATTTTTTCAAACGTCGCCCTGATCTTTTGGGACGACGCTCCTTCGTCGTCAATTTGATGACTGTAAAAAAAAATCAATTAAGTAACAATCGAAAAAAAAGCAGAATATGGGTTAGACAATAATATGTTGCATGTTGACGATGAAGACATAGCTTCAAAGCATATACAACACAGATCGCGGGATGTATAAAATAATGAATTAGGACTTGGGAGAAAAATATAATTAGGTTTTATAAGTAAGAACACTGCCAACTATAATCACACTTAACTACATAATTTAAATTATATATTGCTTTTGAACACGTTTAAGATTTTTAAACACTTATTTCAAATTAACTTTTTAACACATTTCTGGAATTTTTAATTTAAAGAAATCATCTACTAAAACCACTAAATAATACTATACTTCACTTGATAAGAATTTACATTTACACTCCAACTTGATTTAATTACGAGATGCACAAAAGATATAATTTAATTTAAATAACTTACCTTTCCTCTCTGTTTTCCACTACTATTTCTGGAAGTGTAGGTTTTGGTCTTAATACATTAATATTAACAATATACGGCCTCGCCCATCGCCACAATTTAGCTAAGAACGACATTATTTTGTTTTATAATCAGCGAATTACACTAACAGTTGACAGACGCCCGAGGATGAACAACACTGACTGATTGACTGCCGGGCGCCCGAGGCTTTATAAGGCCTAAAGCGGGGACGGGCGGTGGGGGTAAGTGCGCTGTGATTGGTCGAGACAAGTCATTATAAAAAAAATGACTCTCATTGTAATGACAATGCTTAGGGGTGGGGCTCTTTACAATTGTTAAGAACAATTAAGTGAGATTATAATAAACACCACGCGATATTTATGACGATTATTTAGTGCGAGTGTTACGTCATTATTATTTTTTTTACATTAAATAAACTAATATTTTTGTAGAAACATTTCAATTCGTAAGGTGAATAACAATTTAGATCAAATTCTACATACTACTTTAATGTACTACGAACCCAGCTAAAGCTTTAGATAATATACGATATGAATTTTAAATGAAACAAGAGCCCTCAATTTATTTTTAAAATAATTTTATAAATGATGTAAAGGTAATAAGTTTTATTCACTGCTGTTGTAATTATGTTAGTATTTAAAGTTTATAACTAGAATACGAAAATAAAAGGAGTGCCACAAGGTTCAATTGTAGGACCATGTATTTAAAGCTAATATAAATTATTTTGACATCATATTGTGTGTATGTTGGTTACAAAATTTTTGGATACTTTATTAAGCGACATTTTAATCAAATTTTCCATGAAAAACAATTCTTACATCAACCATTTGCTTTATGAAGATATGACTACAATAAAAATAATAAAAATCTTTTTATTACTAAGAATTAGTTTTCGATCACTCTCAATGTAGTTTAAAAAACAGTTTATGTTATTTTATGGGTTTTCGTCGGTCGGTTTTTTTATTTGGGTTTATGTCTGATAAAATAATATAAGCAAATAGAAGTAAGGCAATCATTATTATGAATTATTATTATAGTAGGTGTCTATTTATGTTTAAAATAATTCTAGCAACAAATATGTGTAAGAAACATAAATATTGAGTGAAAATTTCAAGCAAAACAAGTATAGCAACTAGGATTCTAATAGGTACCTATTTAATAAAGTAGATTTCTATTATGTAATTTTGCTTTTATAAATTTTATGATTAGTCTATAAGTAGTTGCTTAAAAAGTCAAATAAGTTCTTTCATAAAGATTTTATTCATTTATTTTTATCACAACATTATGTTGTTGAAATAATAAAATTCAAAGAAAAACATGTTGCAATTATCCCGATTATAGTGTATTATTTTATTGTAATACATGGTTCTACAGTTTTAGATTTCATATTCAATGTTAGGATTCAGCAAAAATAGTATTTCGGTCGGTTTATCAACAAGTAATAAGTATACCTATTATTAATACTAGCTTTTGCTCATGGCTTCGCCCGCGTGAAATTTAGCTTGCCACCGATCATTATAAATTATAGCCTATATTTTATTCTGACGTATAAACAATAATATTGTAAAGTTTAATCAAAATCCATTCAGAAGTTTTTGCGTTAAAGAATAACAAACATACATCGACAAAACATCAAAAATTTCGTATTTCTAATATGTATTAGTAGGAGTAAGATAAGTAAAACATATTATTCATTGTGACTTTGTGTAATATCTTTGCTAATAATTATGTTACAAAATAAATGAATGATGACGAAATGTCATTAATTAACAACCCTTTTCTTGTATTTTCTAATTAAGTACATTTTTAAGAAACTGAGTGAATAATTTTTAACAAAATTGCGATCATCTAAACTAATAATGGATAGTACTTGCAACTCATTAACTAACGAGTTTTAAATGTTGTGATATATGATTGTTCTATAATGTATTCATATAAATCATGAGACTGACAATGTGTAGATTTAGTTCATTTAGTAGATTTCGATTCAGTTAGATAAAGTAATATTAACAACTACACAACTACTATTAAAAGTCTTCACTTTTGCATGACTGAATTTTACCTATAATTGAAAAGTTTCGATTAAGCTGAAATTAAAAGAAAATTGTATTTTTGTTCAGGCAGAAATGTTACCATAATAATCATAACATATTCACTGCAATGAGTAATCTTTTTACAATAATTACGTATCGAAATGACGACTTAGTGTCATTAAGAAACCCTTTATTACAATTTTAGTTAATGAAGACAGAAGTAGCATAAATTACGATTGAGTAACATTTTTACGCTAATATCCTGAAAGTGATTAGAAATTGATGATCGAGAGTCATTACAAAACCATTTTCTTGAACTTAGGTTAATGACATGTTTATAATTACTAGCTAATTGAAGCTTTATCCTATCTAACCTATCCTACTAATATTACACAAGCCTACAGTGATTTTGTTTATTTATTTAGGTGCATTGCATTCCACATGATTTCAAAGCTAACATAACTCCAAAAAAAACAAGACTTTTGCTGCCGCCAAAACTATAATATTTGTTATAAGTTGTATTCTGATGAAACATATTTTTTTACATCTTAATAACATATAATAAGCTATAATTTATATCTATATTGAGTGAATTGGTTTAATTATTAAAGTTAGGAGACAAGTAACTCGCTTTTTCTGAAAAGTAATTTCACGCGGGCAAAGCCGTGGCAAAAACCTAGTACATATACATAAAATACCATACGACTACCATTGTCTCCAGCGGAAACAAAACCCGTGACCGCAAATCGTGTTGGTCTATATGACCCGCTAGCAAACAACAATAAAAAATACCTTTCCCAATAGATTTATCGTTAAAAAAGATAAGGACACCTTTTATTGTACCATCATGAATTATTGAAAGGGGATGTTTTATCATTTTTAAGCTTAAAAACACGCGTTGATTTATTCATTGTTATAAAAATTCGCAAAAATGTGGTAAACAAAAGAAAGGGGTAGGCCATTGTTTCCGTTTCGGCAAGTGCCTTTGACACCGATATTCTTTATCAACAATTAGGGTACTTGAGAGAGAGAGCTATAATCTTTTTTCATTGTTACTAGCTTCTGTTATTATATTGTTTTATTTGTTATGGGATTCCAAATAGTTATCCCTTATCTCTCCAATTGGAAAATACCACGAGGAGGTGAAAGAATACATTTTTGAACGAGAAAAGTAAGTGTTGAAAAATACCACGTACCTACACTATAAAGGGTGGAAAAGTTAAGTGAACTATTTCTAAACTATAGGTACAAGATATCGAAAAACTGATTAATGATCCTGAAAGTGCTTCACGAGTTCTTTCAAACGGTGAACGCTCTTCCGAACTCATTCTAGCTAGTGGCTGGCTAGTGTCGGCTCATATACCCATTTACCTAACATCCTGTATAAATACCAATTTTCATTACTCCCGGAAAATTTCCAGGTACCAAATGACTGGAATAAATTACTACCTGGAATTTATCCAACAATACATACAAGCTTTGTTATCGTCATCATCATCAACAGCCCTTTACAGTCCACTGCTGGATTATGAGCTTTGTTTTAGTTTTAACTATTATCCCTGCTACTATCATCATCTTTTGCTTAAGCACTTAAAAGCGCTTAGGCTTTAGATTCTTTCTCCAGGCCTAGCCTAGCATATTCTACTATCTCTATCGTTTCCTAAAATCTTTATCAGTTACATTGTCTGCTTGGAATTTATCTAACGACACGAACAAGCTTTTCTTTCATTGGTTCACACAAAGTGGGTAGCCACTACCTTTTACTTCATTATTATCTTTTATTTATGCATAAAAGAGCTTAAGGCTTCAACTCTTTCACATGGTGCCTAACACATTCTATTGTTGAAATCTTATCAGGAACTTTGTCTATCTACAACTTATCTATCGATACAAGCAAGCTTTTTTTTTCATTTGTTTGCAGGTATCCTAAAACAGCCTTATCACCTAACTGCTATCATTGTCTTTTATTTATGCCTTAAGCATTGTTTTGATTTGTTTGGTGCTATCATAAAACTATTATCACCTAAGTTACTACCCTTTATTTTATCAGTCTTTTCCATTAGAGATTAGGGCTTAAGCGGTTTCTCAGAGAGTCTGCATCGTTCTATTGTTTTGTTACACAGAATTCTTATCAGTTGACTTACTACCTGCCCTCTCGACCTGCCCGCGATGCTATGTTTTATATTGCTATCTCATTTTAGTTTTGTAATTTTTCACTTTCCAGTTTTGTGCTTTTCAATGCATAAATAAAATACAATGATAGCAGTAGGTGATATATATATGGTAAACTGGATGAGAATGCCTTATGGCATTAAGTTCGCCTAATGTTAATATTTTTGGCATTGAAGTATAAATAAATAAATCTATATATATAAAAGAAAGTCGTGTTAGTTACTTCGCTTATAACTCAAGAACGGCTGAACCGATTTAGCTGAAAATTGTCAGGGAGGTAGTTTAGAGCCAGGAGAAGGACATAGGATACTTTTTATCCCGTTCGAAATTTAAAAAAAGTCTGCTTATTTATTGCCATTAAGGCGGAACAAAGTTCGCCGGGTCAGCTAGTATATAAATATAATAAAAGAAAGTTTCTGATAAGAATCCCGTAATACAACAATAGAATGTGCTAGGTACCCTGAGAAAGAGTTGAAGCCTTTGGTCTTTTCGGTACATAAATATAAATAAAAGACAATGAAAAAAATAAAGGGTAAAAACGAAGCTTGTTTGTAGCGTTATATTCATTCCCGGTAGATAAGTTCTATTTTAAGAAACAATAGAGATAGATAGAATGTAGTAGGCACCTTGACAAAGAGCTTAATAAGGCTATAGTCTGGTCGCTGATCACGTAGAATTTCGTCCAATGACCCCAAGCTACCTATCCTTATCGTTCGCACGTAATTATATTGCTGTCGCGCTCGCACACTCACTGCGGCCGACCGTCGCACAGTCGCGACAGCAATATAATTACGTGCGAGCGATAAGGATAGGTAGCTTGGGGTCATTGGACGAAATTTTACGTGCTCGGCGACCGGACTTAAGTAGTAGTAGGCGATGATATTTTTTGGAATTGGTCTAGAGGGAACACTTTTGTCTCCAGACTTAATATTTTTAGTATATTTCATTAAGTTAGGAAACGAACCTTC